ACATGCTTCATTAACTTTAAACCCATGCTTTTTGGCTAAGTTATTAACATTGTGTTTTGGCTCACCCTGTATAAAAATGATATCAACATTGAAGTAAGTTTTCTTTAAATATAACCTTTATGCAAATCATTACATCTGCTTTACCAATTTTGGTTCAATAATTGAGACTTTTCTGGGAAATGACCTTTCAGGAAGTGTCACATTGTTTCATATTGGATTGCTGCTTTCAACTAATTCACTCTTATTGTGGTAGCCTATTTTTAAATGATAATTTACAGTAACCTATATTTATCCACATGACCTCTTGAAACAACATTATATTTTTCAATATGTTTTCAGTGTTCATAGTTCAAGTAGTTGTTTTTTATTATTCTGGATTGTCAAGCTGCATTATATAAAAAGTCATAGCAAGCTGTTTTAACTGTGTTATGTTACATGACCTTGAATAACATTTATATGCTTATATACAACTTTTTGAAATGATGTGTAACATTCATTCATATTGTATACAGTACAAAAATACATGATTTATAATATGTTATATTGGACGGTCAAAATTGTTTTGCTTATGTTAAAACACACAAGGTAACCAGGCCCGTAGCCAGGATTTGCAAAGGGGGGTTCAGTTTTCAAAAATTTCCACAGGGCGTTCACATTTGACAATTTTGTCCCAAATATGGCTAAAATCACTTGAGAAGTGCTCAAAATGGTGAAAAACTGCATGATTTTGAAAGAATTTTTGGCCAGGGGGGGTCTCCCGAACCCCCCTAGCTACGGGCCTGGTAACATTGGAAAAACAAAAAGCCCCACAACTCCTATAAAATGGAAAAATACAGAAACCAGGAAAATAATTTTTGTTCAACATTACTTTACCAATGGGCTTTAGTCTGATATTTTTTGTATAACAACCAGTTATTCCTGAAGTGATTATATATTTACTTTAAATAATATTTTTATATAGATATTATTTGAATAATAAATATCTATTGAACTAAAAGTGAATTGAAATCAACTTATTTTTATGTCCTAGTGTTTGGCTTCCTGCTCTCGAGTGCCACTGTGACAATCATTTACATACAACCAGGATTTTTGATTTTAACTGTAAAATTAACAAACATAAGGTGCCATATTTTTTATTGCCATTCATGAAATCCATGGGTGGCTATTTGTCACCAAATGACAAAAAATGAAAACTTTATACATCCGTCTAAGCATTAAGAATTTATGATTTTTGTAATTACTAAGTGAAGCAGAATAAAAGGACATAGGATATCATCAAAATTGTATTTTTTTCGTATTAAACACAAATTACATTTATTCATTCAGCACACTGAAACCTTTGTATATAGTGAGGATGGAGGAGCATATCACACAAAGAATCTAACAGATGAATATATTTGAACACATTGAAAGAATCAAGTAAAATTGTATTTGGCAATAGAATACAGTACAATCTCCTTCAAAAGTTCAGAAACCAGATGTCTTATTTTGGACAATTTAACAAAGTTGGTTTATGTTTGGGATGTTAAAAGAATTCATTAAATTTGTTACAAAATTCTGATTTGTGTCAATAAGGAAGAAAATTAAGATTCAAATATTGACAGGGTTTGAAATGTTGTACCCATGAAAAATCTAATTTCCAAACTTATGGAGGGGAGTGTATACTGATTCAGAAGTACACTAACCATGCTTACGGTGTGTATGACCCACTGAGTAAGAAATGCAGAAAAACATTCACCATCACCATGTTCCACAGATTTTCAAAATGTCACTCTATTCTGAGTATCTACATAATGACTGAGTGACTGTATGGTATTAACAGTCAAACATATGTAAGGGTTCTTATTAGTTGCTATCATACTGTTATAATGTGAACATCTCCAAATAAGGACATATAAAAGAACAAAACAAATTACACTTTTGACTCGTATTTTTCATCTGAATTTGTCAAGTTGAACAAATTTCAATTTTAGCTGTTTTTCAACATTGTGGGATCCACAGCCTTTACTATCCTTTTGGAATAGTTCTCTCAAAAGCGTTAGGTAAAGAGGGGCTCTGATAAATCAGAATGGTTTTTCCAGCAATTTAGGTAAGTTTATATGGCTATAGAATAAAGCCAGAAGAACCCTACAATGGTTGATATTAATTTAATATCATGAATAGTCACTATGAGTCAGATTGGTATAACCTTCTATATTCCAGTTGACTCGGTGCAGTTTGCAGTCACATTTTTACTGATCATAAAACTCATCATTAGTCAATTCACAATAAACTTGAAATACGGTAACATGTAATTCCCACAATATCAGTAAAATATGGCATGTTTTATTTTCATGATAACAAAGACATCTTTTGTTTTGACAGCTTTAGATCTCTCAACAAGTTCTAAACATGGTCTCACGATAACAGAATAGCTAACTAAAGAATGTAAGGTGACATCACAGAGTTAAAATACTCCACATCTTAGTTCGTTTTTTTATTTATACTGAAATATATATAGACAAAACAAGCCCTAACACCCATTGACATATTAATGGTGTCTCAGCAGTTCTAGTTCCAACTATCCATGCGATAAAAATAAAATTAATAGCTTCTTTGTCAAAATACAATACTAGTGATGACATTTTATTGTGACTCTAACAATTTTTGGCTCATTATTATGGAATGGGGACTTTTCACATAAGGCTATTTTAATGATGTCAACCAATCACATACATCATAACTAGGTTAAATAAACAATAATGTATAGTGGAACCTAAGTAATGTTAAAGTAAATACCTTGACATGTCAGAGCATTTTTGTCATATTTTAAACATAATCATTATTTTAGTTTCACTTTCAACTTTACTCTGGGAATTGTTGATTACTATCATCAACGATTATTGGTAATGATAATATAATAGGGGTGAAAATTAATGATAACGATATCTCTTATCATTACGTAAGCATTACAAAGTCAAAGGTATAACTTGCCAAACTAATTATGTTTTATTCATTATATATTTCAACTTGAGAGGCTCAGTTTATTTGAGAAAAACAAAACCTATATATGTAATGTTATGTACCACTTTAAAGAATAATAATCTCCGAATGCAAACATATATCTACAAATGAAATGTTATGTACCATTTTAAAGAACAATAATCTCTGAATGCAAACATATATCTACAAATATAATGTTATGTACCATTTTAAAGAACAATAATCTCTGAATGCAAACATATATCTACATATGTAATTGTTATTTACCACTTTAAAGCACAAAAGTATCTTAATTAACGAAAACGTCTGAATGCGAACATATTGAGCTAGTTCATTATAATTCTTGGATGGTTTAACTGTATTATAGACTTCAGGGGGAATCATATACAGTATCTTAATCCTACCATAGGCTAGAAGCCAATAATAATCAACCAATTATTGCTTTGATAATATGTAGGGTCAGTAATGCTTCAATGAAACCTAAGCAATGCATCAATTCTTATCGCATGTATTAAATCGCTAGGTTGTGAAATGAAACTACACCTAATCCCTTGAATTTGATGCTATATTAATATAAGCTTATATTTCATAAGAGCTGTGCTGTTGTTTGGTTAATCTGAGCATAAGGGGTTACATCTGCCAGATTTTCAAGTTAAATTTGTATAACAAAATATGAGCATCAGACTTAACAATTGCTATATGAGGTATAAAACAGTGAATTAAAAAATAAATCTAATTTTAATGTGTCCCTAATATCATAATGAATCAAAACTAACTCACATCTTTACAATCATTCATCTTTTCAAGGCATGGAATAAAGTAATTCAAAGTAGTGTTTTTTCTATTCAGTGTAGTATCTTGATAACAATAAATCTTTTTTCGGTAAAAACAAAGAAGACACCTGTATAGACTTACACCAGTCATACTTTAAGCATGTTAGAAATTCAAAGTTGTAGCTTATAATAATATTTATTATGACACAATGGAGACATAGGCAACAGTAATGAGCTGTATAATAACAAGTACATCTTGGGGTCATATGACAGTTGCCAAGATCAGCTTTAGAAAGTAATCTTCTATCATGTTCTCTGACAATACTTTATCTTAGAATAGACAATAGACATAGAGAATTTCTGCAGGCAACACAGTTGATAATTTTATGCAGCGATTTAATATAATTACAGTGGCCTTGGATCTACACATAGTTATTTAATATTCTGCAAAAGATCCAGGCTTTCCGATCATTCAATTACAGCAGACAAGGTAACACTATTAGAAGATGAATTGCATCTTATACCTGAACAAAATAAGGCATTAATTACATGACCTTTTTCTGCAATTCAAGGATATTATTTAGGAGGACTACCCAATAAGCCTAGCTCGACTCTGGATCACAAGTGCAAATTCGTACCTTGTTTTCATAGCCATTCATTGATAAGACCCTAATATGAATCGGCTACACATGGGAAAATAAATATGAAATGAGTTAAAATTCATACAATAAAATAGTTCATACTAAGATTCAGTATTCAAATGAATGACTTTGTGTATATCTTTCAAAGGCCTACTAGAGTCCATTTCACTGCTTCATTTCGTCAGTAGAACGGCAAAAATAAGAAATTGGGAGACCATTGTGCAATAATATATGGAAAAGTATAATCCTAATGTACATGAATGACATTTGTATATTTCAGATTTTTTAGTTTTTTGTGCAATAAGCCTGTGCCGTCTTGTAATTTGAAGAATTTCAGCCATGTTAATTTTATTGAAAATAACATGGCAGAGAAACATCCAAATATAAGAGGCCACACACTTTATAAGCCAAACTAGAAGCAATCCAAGATATACAAATGTCATTCATGTACATTATGAATATACTTTTCCATATATTATTGCACAATGGTCTCCCAATTTCTTATTTTTGCCGTTCTACTGACGAAATGAAGCAGTGAAATGGACTTTAGGTTGAAGTTGTGAAAGAAAAATCAACTTTTTTGTTGGAAAGTTTTTTTACGTACCTTGATTTCGGTCGAATTTGAAGAAAATTACAGCTAAAATTCCACAAATTTTGAGCCACATTTTGGCTAATGTATGTTCTTGCAACTCTGCACTAATTATTATGTATGTAATCCGTATGTGACATTGGTAAAAATCCACTTGTTTGGGACAATTCAAGCACCTTGTTCATATAACATTTTTAGTGACGTCATTAATCCAAAATGAGGTTGAAACATTAGGGGAAACACCATGGGGGATTCCTAGTAAAACCAATCTTACCAAATTTACTGCCTTTGCTTTAGGAAATGACCTTGTTTTAAAAGTCGTATCATTTTCGTATATCGTCATACCCATAAAGACAATCATGCTACCTGTCCACATGTTCAAAGTATTGGTAGTTCTTTTCAGAATAAGAAAAGCTGCGGGGCCTGAAAGCAATGGAGCACATAGACACTGTACTTAAATGTATGTAGTTGTAGGCTCAGCGGAAAGCTAAAAATGACTTGATCTATCTAATGTAATATAGAAATAATCCCGGGGGAGTACTCCCATATATTGGCTATATGGGGATGTGCCGCTAAAGTGGGTCACTTTTTCGCCGAAAAATCCCTAGATGTGGGTCCCAATTTGAAGAAAAAACCTAGATATGGGTCCCATTTTGTTGAAAAAATCCTTAGACCTGAGTCTCCTTTTTGAAAAATCCTAAAACTTGTTACTGTTTTTAAAAGAATCGCCGGAAGTGGGTCTTGTTTTTAAAAATGTGTGGGTCCATTTTTAGAGAAAAAATCCCTAGATGTGGGTAGATATTGAGTCTCAGCGGCACCCCCTTGTACAAAAATTTGACCAGCCCCCCCCCAGGACAGGATGTTTATACAAAATGTTTTTACCACATATTTGTTGGGCTTGGAAAAGATCACTTGTAGACTATGGAGAAAGGGAAACTTTTATTTGATAAACACAAAGAATGGCAATGGGGATGGTCAGTAATTGTAAAATGTATTCAGTAATACAAAAAAATAATAAGACGCGTTATTTAATCATACAAAATATATAAATGTTTATTGCCAATATAAAATGTAAATCATGAGCATATCATATACTGCAATTGAAAAGAGTATCATATTCATTATTTCAATTTTTTCACACTACATTGAAATATAACATGTACTTGGCACATCAAATAATATTATGTACATGTACTATTCTCTAAGCCTACATATACATGTAATTGTGCATTTCCTACAAGAGGAGTAATATCAAAAGAGCATGCCACAATGTTTCAATTTGCAACATCTCTTAGTTAGGTATGGTATTTTCAAGAGCAATTTCATCATTTTTTGTCAAATTTAAAAAAACTCAAAAATACAACAGGATAATTGATTAAAGAAAGAAAATAGATCACCATCAAATCATTATTCTAGTTACATTGTAAAAATTGGGCTAAAATAAACAAGTCCAACTATTTACAAAATATGAAGCACCCTGTGAAAAACCACAAAACTTGGCAAACTGAAAATTTCTTGTTTTCCACCCTTCATTTTAAAGATGCACTGAAAACCAGTTTCATATTTAAAGTAGTGTTATCCAGTACATACACTGTAATATCATTGCACTTAAGTATATTGCTTTCATCCAACTTGCAATTCCTGAGATTTAAAGATATCCAAATACAATGTACATTGTGCCCAGTATAGGACCGTTCAGTATATCAGCAAGGTGGCGTAATGGCTTATTATTCTAATTCAGTAAATTTCACCATTCTTGCTACAAAACATCATGTTTAGTAGCTTTTATACTCTTCATCCAGTAATAGATCAGATATGGAATGGAAAATGGATTTAATATCACTACAACAAATAGTAGATAAACATATAGAATATCCTTTATATCCCATACCATACATGCTGTATAATCATTGGGATGAGCAACATTTCTTTTTCACTTCTTCATTTGGTTCAGTGTGTTTATCCAATTTGATGCTCCTTGTCCCCCATGTAAATCCACTGCTCTCTTCAAGTTCATTATTATCAATATCAGTTCTTTGGTAGACACTGGCCTTCCTATCATTCTTTTTGTATGTGTCCATCTGAAAGGGAGTGAAAAATATATCAATATAAATGTAGTGAAACAACTTATGGGACCACAGTTGTGAAAGGTGTTCACATTCAAAAATGTTCACATTTGGAGGCTTTGACAATGTAATGATATCCATCCATCCCATAAATCACATTGATATTAACGGAATATACCAATCTTGAAAAAGAAAATTTTCATGTGTTTTCTTCGTTTCTTCTTTCTACGTTCTCTTGACATAACCATATAAGAGTAATAAAATTTCCTTATGTATATTTAAGTTAATCAGACATTCCTTAATTTGAATGATTGTAGAATAAAACGTTTTATTCCTTTATTTGGGGATAACAACATGCATTTGGACTTTTTAATTTTGTCAAAAATATTCTTTTCCATACCAATTTAGGACTGAATGTATCAGTTAGGGTGTACGCTAGTTTCTCAAAACAAGCGTGCACATTTGTTCCCTGCTTGGCGCTAGTTTCCCAGAATCCATTTGCCAGTTTTTCATCCGCTAACTGGAAAATATCAATGAAGATTACACATTTCAAAAATAGAATTAAAACAAGGCATTAACATGACAAAATGTCACCACCTAGTTGCTCATAACATTATGATTTCAATCTTAAGTCAGATTAGAATTTCTGACAACTTGTAGATGATTTTGAAGAAAAAAATTGGTCAATTTGAAACAAGTTGAAAAAATACCTGAAAAAATTAGAGTATTTGTATTTGTTAAGTTATTGGAAGTTGTAAGAATTTGTTACAGATGCTGTTCACCAACCACCAACGGCCGTCAAAAAAACGTAGACCATAACAATATGTCACCACTTTTTGGTGAGAATTGACTGTTTATTACTTATTACTTAGCACAATGACCTTAGTGCAATTAGTTTCAGCAAGGCTACCATCACATAAACTCCCAATCCGGCCAAGTGATAAAAGTTTGGCTGTGAGGCACAATTATTACCCTGCGTGCAGAGTCTAGTTAAACTACACTCTGCCTAGTAGAGACCATATTACAGTTTAGTAGCCCCGCGCCCACGACGGGTACCGGTGACAGTTTGCATAATAAATAACTTTTGACCTACGCGCTGACCTCTCTTCCACCAATCTGCGAGCTTGAAGAAACACACGCCAAATGCGTTCTAATTAAATATGCGCATGTCATTGGTCAATTCCGGGCTCAACGATGACGTCAGAAGGAATGACCATATATAGAACGTCGGTCAATTTTGGCCGACGAACACTGATTGGCGCGGTGAGTTCACAGGTTTATTTTAGTTTGAAAGAGTGAAGACAAAACTCTCTTTTAAGAAGTGAAGTCAAACGAATGCAAAGGGTACACAATTATGTGGTCAAAACAAATGGAAAATATAATATACAGTGAAAACTATTTACTTAGGCTAAAAGTACCTAAGTTACACAAAGTTATTTTTCCCGCGATGGAAATATGCCTGGCACTTTATCATATTTGCAGCTATATGAAGTGAAGAAATGCTTGTAAGCAATGTGTTCGATAAATCATGTTAAAAATATAGTTTTGTAGCATTACATTGAAAAATAATCCATACTTAATTATACAATTTTGTTTACTGTAACAAATGTATTTTTGTGCCTATTTTGATGTACATTTTATAGCAATAAATTAATAACAATTTGAATCATTAATAACAATTTGAATCATTAATAAATCATAAATAAATTATATCGAGTTCCAATTTAAATTGAAGTCTACTCAGGAAAATATAAATTGCCCAAATGGATGTGATCACATGCACCATATTTTGGTCTAAATACTATGTTAGATTTACAATCAATCTTTTTCAAGTCTCGTTTAATATTTGATTCTAAGCCTAGTACAAAAGGTCACACAAGCCTTCAACACCATCTAGTTACATTGTCTAAAATGAATCATGTGTCTTCGAAAGTCCAATACATTGTACTTGATAATTGGGCAACTAATTGCAATTGAAAGTATCTTATTAAATTATTTGAAACTGTTGAAACTATGTCTTGAGTATCTTTACATTGATTAACAGTGGGAAAGCCAAGAAGAAAAAACGAGGAGGCAAAAAATATTTTCAAACCTTGCCTCCTTTGCATGACAATGGCAGACAAGGCATTCACATGACAAAATGTCACCACCAAGTTGCTCACAATTTAATTGGTTTACTCTGAAGTCAGATTTGAATTTCTGAGAACTTCTGATGATTTAAATTTGGTCAATTTGAAGCAAGTTGAAAAAATACCTTTTTGACCCTGAGAAGGTCATTTGAGAACTTGTACATGATGTTGAAAAAACAATTGGTCAATTTGAAGCAAGTCGAAAAAAGATATTTTTGAACTTGAGAAGGTCAAATATTTTTGACCTTGAAAATGTCATTGAAAGTCAAATCTTTAGTCAGATTTGAACTTTTGAGAACTTGTAGATAATTTTGAAAAAAACAATTGGTCAAGCAGAAGTATACATATATCTTTTATTGACTCAATAATCATGTCATGTAAATGACATATCAGACACTACAGTGTACAAAAAGCTACAAACTACAACTACATACCACAAAACGAATTTACATCAGTTTCACATGTCAAGGTATGATAACAGAATATCAGTGTGGTGTATCCATAATACATGTTTTTATAATAAATGCTACATGATATTAATCATTTTCCAAATTTTTAAAAGAGTGATATACACATTTGGCTAAATGTAAGTTAACATGAGAACTTTTATTTGACATAATAGTTTCAAACAGTTTATCTGGATCGTTGTGTTTCAGATCAGATTTTAAAGTTTCAAACAAAAGTTCTAGGTGTTGTAAATTCTTTGTGCAGCTTGTGATAAAGTGACGCTCATCCTCAATTACCCCACATTCACTACACAACCTTTCAGTTGTGTGTTTTGGCTTTGGTTTTGAGCACCCCCCAACTTCTATCTGTACTTTATGTGAACTCATCCTGAGCCTAGTTAATGCATGTCTATACTTTTTATTTTGAATGTTTTAATATGATTCTTTGGTGAAAGTAGTTTTGAATTTTATATAGGTCCTAAGTACAGGAAAAGTAAGAATATCCTGCTTCCATTGAAGTGCATAATTACTTTTTAATTTCTTTGTGATCATTTGAATGAATATATAATCCTCTTCAACATTTTGAGTCAACCAATGAGAAAATAAATCACATTGTTTTACTACATCAATAACTTTACTGGACCAAGTACCAGAGTAACCTAATCCATTCATTTCAAGGTCATACATATATGATTTATTGAGCATATTTTCTTCAGGTAATTTCATTAAACGCAGCCAAAATTTAATCATTTAATGTCAAAACGAATTTTTAAAGGATAACGTCCTAGCTCACCATAAACAGCTGATGTAGCTGTTGATTTTTTCAAACCAAGCAAACATTTGAGGAATAATGTGCAACATTAGAAATAGGCCTCTGAAATTTCAACAAAATCTGTCAATGGGTTCTGAGTTATCACCCTGACAGATTAATGAAGTAATGGATGGACAGTTTCTCCAGTATCCCTCAAGAACTTTGGTGGGACAATTAAGTGACTTATGTCTGGACAAAAAGGCCACATACAATGTTGTTCACTGACTATGTGAGGTTTGAGAAACACAGGGGATATATACAAAAGAGGGCGCTTCATGTAAACATTTCCTACCTTCTCTCCACGTTCAGTTGGAACTTCTCGTTTATCCTCCAGATCAGATTTATTGCCAATAATTATCATTGGTGGAGTATCTTCAACACTGCATTGGAGCTCCTGGCAAGAGAAAATACTAAACAATGTGATTTAATTGTAGCATTAGGTTTAACATAAAGAGATGATGTAACCATGACCTAATTGTAAAAGTAAGTAGAATTCTTTTGTAACATCAGGTTTACATACACATGGCTTTAAAAATTTGTTAAAGTTTGAATATCAATAGGTGAATTTAACAGGTTTAACATGCATAGGTTTAACATGCACAGGATTAACATGCAAATGATTAACATGCATAGGGTTAAAGATGCAACTACAATATGACTTTGATACCTGGTCTATGCTTTCTAGCCAGAAATTGAGTCTTGTAAAACTATCAAGATCAGCAACATCATACACAAACACAACAGCCTATAAAATGTAAAACATGATATGATTAAAGCATATAAACAAGTGTATCAGATCAGAAAATGAAAATTATGTAAATGAATTATTTAAAGACATTATTCCTTATTTTCATGTAATGCTCCTATAAGTTGTTCTCTATGTTTCATGTAAATGCATACTTTGAAGATGCATATACAGTATATCAAATTGTTCTATATGTCCTATATATCTATTTGTATGTTTCTATATTTATTGTACATATTGTAAATAATTGTAAATTATTACTGGGCCTCTAGGAAGACTAGTTTTGTACTGATAGAGCTACCCAGAATAAATATAGTTCTCAAATCGAATCAAATATGTAATTTGAGAACCAATCTACAGATGAATGTTACCTAGGAGATATCGAGAGGTAATTGTAACTTTCTGAGTAGGACAAATAAATATGCGGTTCCAATGCAGATAAGATCTTCATGACCCTAATAGTAGCATCAATGGTATTTTATGGGACTTTGGATGTGAAATAAATGCCAATTCTGATTGGGTAGCTGCATTTTGATTGACCTTTTCTGATTGGTTGAGACTAAATAAAAGGATTGTCTCTTATGCTAAAAGTGCAGATGAAGCTCTCTTTGAAGAAAGCAAAATCTTCATTAATTCATTTTCTGAATCAATCTTTATTTTCTTTCTAACTAAGTTGGAACTCTTTTAAGTATTGATTACCAAAATTATCGAAAATTGGATCGAATACCTACCCCACACCCCCTTATTGCTGTAAATTGCTTTTTTCCATAATTGGGTGATTCTTCACGAAATAAGAGTATTACAATTCTTAATGCATACAGTAAGCTGAAGTACCATAAGAGGGGGAAAACCCCAGATATTCTACGATATATAAATAATTAATCAAAATTACCTTTGTTCCTCTGTAATGCATTTTGGTTATAGATCTGAACCTTTCTTGACCAGCTGTATCCCTAAAACATGATCAATACAATGTACACTTATAATTCTAAATTGTACATTATGTAAATACACGTTCTACAGTTGTGAGTGTGATATTCACAGTTAAACCATCATTATGACTAAATGTCAAAAATTGGTTCATATATCTGAATTTCGGTTTTTCAAAATTTCAACTGAGTGCAAATGTTTTTCGAACTGGATGCAACTGTATGTAATCTTTGATAGGAGAGTGTCAATAATTCTGATTCTAAATAAACCAAAACTGTTTGAATTTTGTTCACAATGCTACGCCTCTGACAGCTTTATCAAACACTAAATAGATGTGTGATGGAACATCTATTCAAACATATTCAATTTACAAGAAAATAACCATATAACTTGAGCCTCTTCAACTTGAAAATTAATTTACTACTGACATGAATAACTTCTAGGCTTTGTACAAAGTGAAAGTAGCAGGTCATGTCTTGGTCACATTAAGATCAAGGTAAGGTAAAGGTCACAAGTTGGATCCAAGTAATGTGATATAAGTATTAAATATCTTACCATATTTCTAGTTGAACTTTTGCTCCATCAACCTCATAAAGCTTCTTCACAAAATCAATACCTGAAATTACAATGCGACAGTAAGAGGTAGTAGGCAGTAATAGGGAACATGTAATTACAAGAACAGAAATCTTTGTTCGATGGGATAAATATGTGTGCATTTCTTGGGAACAATTAAAATTATAGAGACCTTTCTAAGCTAAGCAAATGTGTCAATATGCTTAAAAAGGAATGACAAAACAAAAAATGTGTATTCCTTCCTGGTTCATTCAGACCATTGACTTTCACAAGCTCTCTAGAAAAAGCCATTTAGAGATAAATATGCAGTCATACAGAGTGACAACAGCAACTGTTCTGTGCTGCATACAGACTGGGAAGAAAGCGCAGAAATGAGCTTATTTATAAGGCAGCCTACTTACAAGTTAGCTGTATAGAAAGAGCCAACAAAATCTTCTAAAAATCAAGCCAATGTCCTGTTTAAGAACCCCATTTCTTATTTCTTGGAATCCATTGTTTTGTTGAGACCCAATCAATTTGAATTTTTCTGATATAATGAGAATTTCAGCAAGGGTGCATGGACTTAACATGGGGCATACACCATTGACTTAACATGGGATATCATGAATGGATACAAAATCCTCATCATTTTTTGCAGTGTTGGTAGAATCCATTTTCAGCAGTGAGAATATGGGTTCTTAAACAGGACATTAAAGCTTAACAGAGGGCCTTTTCAATTTTGGGTTGGTACTATAAAGGAGTTTGTTTCTAACTACAGAACTAGACCTACTAGTAACTATACTATGCATACCTATAGTAGATAACATATTCATGTGGTTTTTGTTGGTAGCTGTTCCAACCAATTTTCGTATAAGTGATGTTTTTCCAACTCCAGATTCACCAACAAGCAAGACTTTATAGCGAACATCATAGATCTTTTCTTTATCTTCAGAAATACTCATCCTCGCTATGATATCATGCTCATCTTCAGTGTCTGTACTCTCCTCGTCGGCATAAACTTCTGTAAACATTTTTGATAATTTACAAGACGTATAGTCTATATTAGGTGACAAAAAGGAGATCTCATAAATATCCCTGGTTCCATACAGTTGTACATATACAGTTATATTTCATATTTCAAACAATACATGTGTATGTTCCAAAGAGGGTCAAAATATATTCAAGACCCATACGGCCGCTCAGTGTATGTGAACTGAACATTCAATATATGACCTTGAATAACATTAGTATACAGAACACAATGGATATGATACAGAATATGTATAATGTTTATATAAGCATAGAATAGAATGGATCTGAAGAAATCATTATCATGCTTTATCAAGTGAAACCACTTGAAAAGAACCTGGTAATGTAAGATAGGCAGAGTCGGGCGACTTTGAAGTATTGCTTGATTCTTGTGTTGCTTGTCAATCCAATTATGTGAAAACAGAATATGACTTGGGATTTCACTTGGACCCTTGAAAGAAAGAATAAAGTATTTAGCCTAAAAGCCATGAGAATATTGATATTGAGAAGTTTAGAAACTAAACTACTAAAACGCCCAGTAAGATACTGACCTTATCCACCCATTGATTGAAAATATTTGAGGAATATTTTGATTTATAGGGAATGTTGGTGAATATTGTATGTTCAAATACAGTTTAAATGACGTATATACAAACGAAATCTTGGAAATACATAGAAATCTTGGAAAACTTCAAAACTTACTTTTTTCTGCTGAACACCACAAATTGTTTTCAAGAAGCGCATTGTCCAATCAGATCTCCGGATTTATTCAGTTCTTTAAAGATCCAGCATGGCTTCCGGTGGTAGTTTTGCCCAAAACCAACTCCTTAAACATGGCTGGACCGAAGGTAATGATGGATGGATTTTATTAAAGAACTTGTGATTTTATGAACTTATAAATGAGGTACACTCAGGGTAAATATCACACGTTATACACCTGTACATTCTGAAAAATTCAACGTCAAAGTTTAGGCCTGGGTGCATGTTCGGAATTTTTCTGAATTTTTTCACTGAATTTTCCAAACTCCCATGCAGTGTCTCGGAATAGACACTGCAGGGGGCTTATCCCGTTCCCGGACTATGGTCCTGTGAACATCTCAATCTTTTGCCTGTGCGATTACAACATGGGAGAATTTTTTACTGATCTTACACTTCAGATACCTACTTCTATAGATTCCTTGGTAATTTAGCATTCTTTTCGTGTAGTTGAATCCACAATTGTCTGGGTTTATCGGCAGAACGAAGACATTTTCGTTTTTGATCGCAATATTTGCGTGTAACATTTAACTTATTTCAACCGTCAAATTCCTCCATATTGGTACTTCCGGGCTACATCCGGGACAGCCAAACGGGGGATTCCCCTTTTAAATCCAACCGCCATTTTGAAAAGTGATGGAATCTATCTCGATGAAAAAGAGTAATTGTTCCCGTTCTGCCGATATACCCAGACAATCGGCGGTTCCAATATATTAGAAGTTACATCTTGAGTTCTATAATGCATTGAGGTAGGTATCTTAAGTGTAAGGGGCGTAGATAATTCTCCCAAGTTGTAATCGTACAGGCAAATGAATGCGATCAGTGCAGGACTATAGTCCGGGAACAGGATAACAGGGGGCAGATGAAGAAATCAACAAAATTTGGAGAAGGTAGTCCCCGTTTTCATCACAGATGTACTCAATTTTCACACAACTTATAAAATACATATTTTTATGTTCCCAATCATTATTTTGTCGAAATGTTTCGAAAATCATGAAATATAAAATCAAAATACAAATTCTTGGGATAAGTTCATATAAGTTCATATAAGTTCATAATAACGAAATAATGAAATGTTACCGTGTGTCTACTTAGCAGTTTGTTCTATGTCATCCCTCCTGCTAGGTTACATTGTGGAACGCAGCTGGTAGGATTAATTTTTGTTGATAATGTTTCACCGCACGTGTGTTTATTAGTTAATACGCGCAATCCAACCAATGAACTTGTCTAGATTTTACAATCACATGAAACCAGCATGAGACAAGAACCGAGACCCTATCTGTTGCAAGACTAACGCCTGGCGTAACCGTCACCATGTTATTCAGTGTTTTTAAGTAGCGCAAGGATCCTGCCATGACCGTGGTAATGTTATCGTGAAAGCCTGGTATAACCGCAGCAATGCTGTATTATATTGCAATGCCTGCCATGACCGTGACAATGTAATATAGTACTGCAAGGCCTTGCATGACCGTGACAATGTAATATACTGTAGTACTGCAAGGCCTGGCATGACCGTGACAATGCTATATAGTTCTGCAAGGCCTGGCATGACCGTGACAATGTAGTATAGTATTGCAAGTTCAGGTATGAGAGTGGTTATGTAGAAATTTACGATTAGGACTGCTATAACTGTGACAATGTGTATTCCAAAGCCTGGCATGACCGTGGCAATATAATATACAGTAGTACTGCAAGGCCTGGCATGGCCGTGACAATGTAATATAGTATTGCAAGGCTTGGTATGGCCGCCATGGCCTTGAATGTGATATAGTATTCCAAGTTCGGGTATGAGAGGGGTAATGTAGAAATTTATGATTGCTATAAGTGACCGTGACAATGTGTATTTCAAAACCTGGCATGACCGTGACAATGTATTATGGGATCGCAAAGCCTGGCATGACCGTGACAATGTATTATGGGATCCCAAAGCCTGGTATGACTGTGACAATGTGATATAGTATTGCAAGGCAAGGTATGAGGGTGGTAATGTAGAAATTTAGGCTTAGTCCTACTATGACCATTATAATGTATTGCAATGACGAGTAAATATGTATGACATTAATGCCAGGAATATCCTTAACAATTTTAAGTGATCGTCGTTACAATTAAACAGTTTAATACTATGATCATGGTGTTAAACTATGTCAAAATCAAAATTACTACTATACATTAATATTCACATTCGCTTATAAACCACAATAAAGGCTACGGTCGCGCCAGCCTTCCACAATAACACTTCCAGGGTCATGACAGGCCTTGCAATATAATACAGCATTGTCACGGTTATACCAGCCTGTCACGGTTATACCAGGCTTACACGATAACACTACCGAGGTCATGGCAGGATCCTTGCGCTACTTAAAAACACTGATTAACATGGCGACGGTTGTTGCAGGCGTAAGTCTTGCAATAGATAGCATGTGCAAGAACCAATCCGTCAGTTGTTTATGACGAAGTTGCCATGGTAACGATAAATGATCTGCCCGCCAGCACTGCACGGGAGTTTCTGAATTTTCTTGTTTTTTATACATTTTATCAAAACATTCTTCTTTACATTCCTTTCTAGGTACATTAGTGCACTCGTTGTGCAAAAGTGAGAGTTGTATACACTGTGGGGAAGGATTGATTCAAATTTGAAAAATAACATGTGACCATATTGAGGGTTGCAGCAAAATTCCGAACATGCACCCTGACCTTAAAAATGTGTTTGAGATGATGGCATTTTATTTTGTAGGCTACAGTAAAATTTTAAATGTTTGGAACTACTTTGAATTTAAAATATAAGCAATCAATATTGCAACTATATTGCAACATGAAAAAATGGAAACATACAAACTTACCTAACACAGCTGGCTCAAAAGCCAGCTGAGGGAACATTCAAATATACTGTCTTGTATTGCATTGTCACGGTCATATCAGGCTTTAACATTACCACGGTCATGTCAGGCCTTGCAATATAGTATAGCATTGTCACGGTCATATCAGGCTTTAACATTACCACGGTCATGACAGTCCGGCCATCCATGTATAATATAGCATTGTCACGGTTATACCAGGCTATCACGATAACACTACCACGGTCATGGTAGGATCCTTGCGAAACTTAAAAACACTTAATAACATGGTGATGGTTATGCCAGGCATAAGTCTTGCAACAGATAGGGTCTCAAATGACCCGACCTGCACATTTATTTTCTGGTCTGACCCGACCCGAAAAACATCAGACCCATGACACCTCTTGTATATTGTACATTGCAGGTCAAGGTTTAGGAAAAGATGAGACTGGAATTAAAGAAGCCATCAAAGTGAAGCTCAAGAAAGATACATGTGGGGTAAGCATAAGAATAACATTGAATCCATATACTAGAATTGTGTGTAAGAAAGATACATGTCGAGTAAGCATTAGAATAACATTGAATCCATATACTAGAATTGTGTGTAAGAAAGATACATGTCGAGTAAGCATTAGAATAACATTGAATCCATATACTAGAATTGTGTGTAAGAAAGATACATGTCGAGTAAGCATTAGAATAACATTGAATCCATATACTAGAATTGTGTGTACGAAAGATACATGTGGGATAAGCATTAGAATAACATTGAATCCATATACTAGAATTGTGTGTAAGAAAGATACATGTGGGATAAGCATTAGAATAACATTGAATCCGTATACTAGAATTGTGTGTAAGAAAGATACATGCATAGGCATAGCGCCCAGTACGCTGGGTACCCACAGGCATACCAGATGGTTGCAAATTCGCTCTAAATACAACCAAATTTCAACATTTTCCTCTGGGAGAACCCCCAGACCCCCCTTAACTCTCGTTTTTTGCTTGGCTCAACTATTGTTCCCGCAGTGGCGTACTACTTATAGCGCAGTCAGATGTCCAGAAATGAGCCCTTTATAGTTCGACTTTTTCAGGAAAGCAACAAACTTGGCACAGTTGTAGAAACACTTGATCTGAGTAGAAAATGATTTCGGGGCAAGTGATCCGGAGTGGTCTTCATGGATTTTTTAGTCTCTGACCCCAACCCCTATCAGGCGGGGAGGGGGTACATTATAAAAAATAAATAAAAATGGTTGTGAAGTAAAATTTTTTAAATGACTTCATTTGGTGATTGCTCTGAGCCTTGAAATTGAGACAAACCGATTGTAGATGTGATGTTTAGTGTGGAAAATGCATTTTGACCCAATTATCTAGCGTGAATTCATCTTTTAAAGGGTCAAATATTGGACATCAAGTACTGTATTTCAAGAATGTGATGTCTGATCATCTTGGAAAAATTCATACTAATAGGGGTATAAGTGTTCATCACAAATTTAGAATATGGCTTGGGTAGCTCATGTATTTTTTGAGATAAAAATTATCGAAATTTTAATTTTTAAGCCCGTGCGGCCTAGGGGTAACCTTATTCTACCTTAATAATTTTTAAGATATGCAATGTATGGGTCTCATATGAGCTCAAAATGGTGCATTGAGTCTTGTTTTGTCATATTATTCCTAATTGGATTGAAAAATGATTGAAACTTTTCAAAAAAAAAAAATTTCATTATCGCTTCTGAAGGGCCAGGGGTAACCATATTTTACCTTAATAACTTTCAAGGTTTGTAATATATGTATCCCAAATTAGCTCAAGATGGTGCATATAGTTCTGTTTAATCATAATACCTCCAATAAGATGTAGAAAATGATTGGACATTTCTTAAAATTTGAAATTTTCATTTTAGCTTATGATGGCCTGGGGGGGGGCTTCTTTAACCTTGAACTTTTGTTAATTATGAGACGTATGCATCTCAAATGAGCTTAGAATTGTGTCATATACTCTTGTTTTGTCATATTATTCCTTAGATGTAAAAAATAATGGAAATTTGAAAAATGACATTTTTAGCTTTTGACAGGTCAGGGGTGATTTTATCATATATTACCATAATATAGAAGCAAAGGATGGAGTGAGTTTAGCAGCCCAGTCCCCATGACCGATGCCATTGGCAGCTTGGGTCTTAAAGCATTTATGACCCAAGCTGCAATAAACCATGCTGACCTATTCTCAACCAATCAGCGAGCTTGAAGGAACAAGTGGTAAATGCGTGCACATTAATGATGCAATTTCGTCAGAGAAAATGACCATATTGAAAGCCGTCCTTATTTCGACAACAAACTCTGATTAGCGCAGTGAGTTCAGAGATTCATTGAAAACTGATAGAGTGAAGACGAAGCTCTCTTTTGAGAAGGAAAGTCGAATGAATGCAAAGGGTAGTAAGTCCAGTCACCTTAGCCTGATGGGGGGGGGGGTTAAGGTGAGCTGCTTCTGTCAAGGATTCTTTCAGTGAATAATGACAGTCAATGATTGGGCACAAGAATGCCAAATGTTATCACAATAATTTTCAAGATAAAATGATCTCAAAATGAGAAAAATAGTCTGTTTTTCACTTTATTCCTACTGAGATAATGATTTAGAAAATTCAGTGACACATTTAAATCTCAATCCATTTATTCCATTTTTCCATAGCAGTAGAATACAGATGTAACATCACATCCAATGATTGTATGAGAAATGGGGAGGATTAAACTTTGGTCATGGGCAGGTAGATATTGATATGTTTTCTCCCTTTCCATATGCTATCCAAATTGACTTTTTCAGTTTTTAACATCACATATATGCCAGGATAACCACATCAGAATTAAATGTAAGGAGTATTATTCTTTCTCTTGAAGGCCATGATTGAAGCAGTCTAACTGAAAATATTGAGAAATATCCATGAATCTGCTTCTTCTTATAAGAGCAAGGGTGATGGCAGAACCTCACTGTTGGGCTAAAACATTGCATTGCCTCCTTAATTTATGTGGTCACTATCTTCTTTCCATCCATTTCAAGGGTTTCAGTTTCCTCCTTAGACTATCCTTGTTCCAGTTCCACAAGTCTCTCTAGTGCTGTTTTAAAGGTGCAACAATTAGTGCAAAGGGGCCATTCAACGATCATGGACCAGTGTCAAAATATATTCAAGTTTTGATATTTCATCAAGACTATATGTTTATTTTTTTCCAAAGAAACCCCCTGGATGAACATTATTTCAGCTGATTCCTCTTGAAATGTTTTGGATCTTAAAAACCTATAAGTGGGACTCCCTTTATAGAAGCTTTGAACTGAATTTACACTTCTTAATGCTGAAATTGATAGTTTATCCATACATTTTAAGAAAATAGGTATGTCAAAGCCAAATATTGCCCTGATAGCTCAGAAAAAGTAAAAAGAAAAATTGAATCTTCTATAGACCCTTGTTGCCCCTTTAAGCTAGTGTCCTTGTAAACATCCCAGCTGACATCAAGGCAATGAACTATTTGCAGACTTTTACGTGGGTAATATCATATTTGCATAATCACCAAATTTTCTTTATATTTCACTGTTAGCATGTTTAACTATACATGCCCTGTCTATTATTTTGGCATCTACTATGTAGCTTAGTCATTCAACTTTGATGTTAATGAGCATAGATACAAACAGCACAAAACTGGAACAGTGAGGAAAGTATATCCTACTAATTTTCTTCTGTGGAACTTAGATTTCCTAAGATAGTGGGAACAAGAGGGAGCTGTTTTCCTTCCAGGCATCAAAACTGAAACCCTGGAGGAAGATGGCAAGAAGATAGTGACCTCACAATGAGGTAATGCAATATCTTAGCCCGATAGTGAAGTATCTGCCATCACCATTCGCTCATATGAAGAAGCATGCCAAAGACTGCTTCTGTCATGACCTAATAAGAATCATAGTCAATACAGTTGATTTTGATGTGGTTTAAACTGGCAGTAACTTGTGCTGAAAATGTCAATTTGGATTGCATATGGCCTATGGTGAGGGGAAATTCCTCCAGGAATAGAAGGTGTACCCAGAGGTTACGCAAGTGTTCTTAAGCTTTAAATCTTTTTTGATACCCTAAAATTAGAAGACTAGAGTCCTTATTCATTCTGATGCATTCTTACCCACAGTTTCTATCACCACATGAATGTGGCTGGACTACTCCCACTGCTGATACTGAGGCCACAAGATAAAATGTAGGTCATGGGGTAGATACCTGTGTCAAGAGAACAGATGCAAATGTTTGAAAGCAGATCTGATTTGCTCTGAGCTATGTAGCTGTAGGAGAGACTGTCTGAATCCATAAATTGTGACTCTTTTGATTAGGTTTTATAGATTTGGATTATATACTCAAATGATAATATACAGAATCTTAACAATGCTACTACTCGTGCCAGTATGAACTGGACTTATCAAACATTTTCATATCTTAGAAAATGTTCTATAAAACTAGATAGTATTGCCATTGGTACTAAAAAGGAATAAATGGCTGTTGAGGTTCATTTTTTAAAATTGTTAATCATTATTGTATATCTCAGTAGCAATAATATGACAAAAGTAGACTATATTCACTATTTTGAGCTCATTTGAGTAGACAATATGATATATCTTTGTTTAAATTTTTAAGGTAAAATTAGGTCATTCCTGACCTATCATAAACTACACTACCAATCGCAAACTGCATCAAACAGCATGGTTTCATAAACAGTGCTGTAAAAACAGTACTGAACACAGCTGTTTTCTAAAACAGTACTGAGCTGTAAAAACAGTACTGTACTACGCTGTCCAAAACAGATGGTGTTAGAATAGCATTGTACATTGCTATATAGTGCAGTACTCTGACTGCACTGTTCAGTACTGTTTACAGCGCTGCAAGACATGCAAGAAGATGTTGCGGATTGGGGGTGTAATATGAAAATGTCATTTTCTTATAATTTCCACTCATTTTTTCACTCCTTGGGAATGATATGATAAAACAGGACTAAATATACCATCTTAAGCTCATTTGAGGTGACTATGTCTCATATTTAGAAAATTATTATGGTAAAATAAGGTTACCCCAGGGCCATCAAGAGCTTAAGTGAAAATTTTGATTTTTTAGATATATCCGATCATTTTCTACATCTTATTGGAAGAAGTATGATAAAACAGAACTATATGCAACATCTTGAGCTAATTTGAGATGCATATATTACATATCTGGGAAATTATTAGGGTAAAATATGGTTACCCCTGGCCCTTTAGAACCGAAAATGAAAATTTGATTTTTTTTTAATTTCCAATAATTTTTTTACATTTAATTAGGAATAATATGACAAAACAATACTTAATGCAACATTTAGAATTCATATGAGGCCCAAACATTGCGTATCTTAAAAATTATTAAGGTAAAATAAGGTCACCCCTAGGCCGCAAGGGCTTAAATATCCATATTTCGATAATTTATTTCTCAAAAATTACATGAGCTACACAAGCCATATATCATATGAGTGATTAACACCTATATCTCTATTAGTATGAATTTTTTCAGGATGATCAGACATCACATTCTTGAAATACAGTACTTGATGTCCCATATTTGACCCTTTGAAAGATGAATTCACGCTAGATAATTGGGTTAAAATGTATTTTCCTTCCTAAACACCACTACTAAAATAGGTTTTTCTCAATTCCAAGGCTCAAAGCAATCACCAAATGAAGTCATTTAAAGAAATATACTTTACAACTATTTTTATTTATTTTATTATAATGTACCCCCTCCCTGCCTGATAGGGGTGGGGGTCAGAGGCTTACAATCCATGAAGACCACCCCGAATCACTTGCCCCGAAATCATTTTTCATTCAGATCATATGTTTCTACAACTGTGCCAAGTTTGTTGCTTTCCTGAAAAAGTCGAACTACCAAAGGGACATCTGACTGCGCTATTAAAAATATAGCGCTACGCCTATGACATGTGGGATAAGCATAAGAATAAGAATGAATCATATATAAACTAGAATTGTGAATTTTTATTCTGTGATCTCAAACACTAATGTGTGTATATGGGGAGTGTATCCATTATCATAATAAATATTCATTTCACCAAAATACATATGAAAAACTGAAACTAGATCTTTGATTCCGTGTTACCATTTACTCTATAGTGTGATTAAAAAATATTTTTGCTCTTTAATCTTGTGGCACTTTGGGTTACATGTGCATTCATATTATTTCTATCTACTTTTCCAGGTGGGCCATAACTTAGGTGATGAGTTTAGCTTCCACTGGTGGGATCATGTCTTCAATAAGGCTGCTAGCAACATCAATGTCAAAACTACAGAGGTACTATATTGTCTTGTGCTGATTGTGGTGCTGTCTGGGGGGGGGGGGGGCAACCAGATCAAGAATTTTTATAGGCTTGTCTTGACTACAGTCTTTAAATTATAATGAAACAATTCTTTGGCCAAATTTTATGTGGGTCTCCTAAACCAGCTACTCAATCAGACTTTTTTCACCTGAAGTTATAAGCACATGTAGCTGGCATTCTTTTCAAACTCCTTAGATATGCCATACAAGCTACTTTGGGGTCATTTAGATCTTACCTAGTGTCAAAATTGTGTACTCATGTGATGTCCACATGTGATAGTAATCGGTACAATAAATCACTGTGTTTCAGGAAAGCATTAACTTATTATTTCAAAGATTTTCTTTCCTTGTGGTATATTGTACAAGCTTAATAATTTAGCATATTACGTGTTGCAAATAATCTACACTGCAGTCAAATCTGTGTAAGTGAACACCAGGTTGTCTTCCAAGAACAAACAGGCTTTTCTATTAAAAAACTCACTTTAATGAACCCACTTATTATTTTCTGAATTAATATGACTATTTTGTAGGAATTATTTCCTTTTAATATTTTTTATGAAGTGGGGTAAATTTACGATTTAGGCCTATGCTTCTCTGTTACAGGATGGTGTTGTAGTGACGAAGAAGGGAGAATCTAACACAGTCAGCAGTAAGAAGCCAACAAAAGCCATGATGAATAAAGATCTCCTCTATGGAAGATTTGTGAAAGTAAGTACAGATATGCAATCATTCACATGTAAACATTTTCAACAATTTTTGATTTTTTCCAAAGAGTCGGCCTAAAATCTAGGGATTTTTCTTTTTTGTATTAATTAAGAAAGTGGCAAGCCAGAACCGATAGTACATGCCAATTAATATATCAAATACAGGGTGAAAATGCAACCCAAAGCTATTGCTATATCTTGGAAAATTCTTATCCATATTTCCAGGAAAGAAAGAAGAGACTGTGTATGTATAGCTCCTGTTGTTAGTTAGTTGTAAAATATGATGTCTTGTACACCTGCTCAAAAGGCAGTCATACAAGGAAAATACGAAAAACACGAATGGAAAATCACTATATCTTGGAAAATACTAATTCAATTATGTTCATTTTTTCAGGAAAAGAAACAAGATATTGTGTATGTATAGCTTCGTTGTTAATAAGTACGAAAAACGCAGTCAGAGGTGACTACCACAGCAATTAAACCTAACAACTTTCTAACCATAGTGTTTTGGCACTTCAGATTTGGCACAAATTATCCTCATTCAATGTGTGGTGAATTTGTGGAGTTTCATCAAAATCACTTCAGGGACTTTACAGTCATGGTCAAAATGCCTGCTGAAGTCTGTCTGAACCAGGGCATTTGACTGCGATTTGAAAGCATTTGACCATAACTCTAAAGTCCCTGAATTGATTTTGATTTCACTTTACAGATTTACCATACAGTGAATGAAGATGATTTGTGCCAAATTTGAAGAGCCAAAACACTATGGCTAGGAAGTTATTTAATTTTTTGCGACCTTGCAGTCAGCCCTGACTGGGTTTTTTATATTTTTCTAGTACAACTGTCATTATCCAATGCATCATGTTTACAACTAACCAACTACAGGAGCTATACATACACAGTCTCTTCTTTCTTTCCTGAAAAAATGAATATAATTACTCAGATGCGAGTAGGTAGTTACCAGTTTCGCCACCAGGTGGCTGATTCGGGGGAATTAACATGGCAGGGTAATACAAAATTCCCTTAAACTTGAATATGCATCAGTTATAGTGGTTCACTTTTCATATTACCCTTATGTATCTGATAGTTATACAAATTAACATATGTCCAGTAAAAGAAAATATTATCTGCCCAACACAAGAAAAGATATTTCACTTTTTGTGGTTCTACAACATGGGGTCTATGGGGAATCTCCCCGACCTAGAAATCACATTTTCAAAGAAAATTAAATTTTCAAAGTTGATAAACTCTTTTCAAAATCACATTTCTAAATGTAATTTTACATGTAGATTCCAAATATGACATCAGTTTGACTGAATTGTGAATTTTTAATGATGTAAATCAAGATTATTTCTACTCGCATCTGGGATATTGGACAAGTATTTTTCAAGATATAGCGATTTCTTTAGGTTGCGTTTTTTTTAACACCCTGTATATGTAAGATTTTTATGTCAGAAATTGTGTCTAAGGTTAGTAACCATGATATACTGACTCCTTTTGAAGGCCCATGCAAAAGCAAAAAATGTACTTCAATGATCAAAATTATTTGTTCGGACTTAAACAGTTGTTCCGTACTTTTTTGAAACAAGTTGTCTTGAAGATTGGAATTTCAGCAAAAACTAGATTTGTTGACCATCAAAGACAACAATAAACATTATAACACACATTGGATAGACTGACTATAATTTACCATTTTCTTATTCCTTCAGTCAACAACTAAGATGGAAGATGGTGTTGAGGTAAAGGAAAAGAAGATAAAGATTAAGAAGGATTCTGATGATGATAGTGATAGCGATACTGATAGTGATGACAATGATAATGATGATGTACTTGATAAAACTAGCAAGTAAGATTCCTGGTGTAATCATTTGTAATGAATCCTTCCCATATTTAAACAGAATGATACACTGTTAAAATACCTTATTTAACCAGAAAATAAGAGAGAAGACTAGTATAGAATGTTGTAGTTATGTTATCTTAGTGGCTGTTCAAAGTTAGATTTTGGAAACTTAATGAAATAATCTCATAACAGGGGGGAAGCATTGCAGTCAATGATACAAATATTAAAATTCCAGATTAAAATTGTGCAAATTCTTCAAAATAATGAATGACTGTGACCACATTTAAACACATAAATATTAAAATCAAGCCATGTATTTATCTTCAATATTGTGAGTGCAATTTGGTTCTAATAAAGTGTGTTAATTTTCCTATTTACAACACTAATTAAGAAATATAGACCGAAGAGCAGGTGTAATATTGTCGAATCCACCCTGCAGGGCTAGGCACAAACGTTTTCTGTACCCCAAATGACCGAAGGGAGTGAGGGGTTCGAAAGCTTTTGTGCCTAGCCCTAAGGGGTGTATTCGACAATATTACACCTGCTCTGAGGTCTATATTACAATTCGAACATGAAAACTCACCAAAATGTTTCGAATATTCATTATGGTCTGCCATTACTACGGCCTGCCGTTATGACGTCACACATTACACGTATTACCAGAGGCATTGTTCGCGAATATACCCCGGGTGAAATGTTGACTATTTACAGTTTATAGAAGGCGTGAATACAGTCATGTTCGAATCTTTATTATTGCACCCTTGAAACTCATTTATTCTCATTTTTACAGGCTGACTGATGAGCAACTGTTCAAGAAATGTGGAGGTTTAACTGCAAATAAAGCTGCTCGTCATGGGTTGGGTCTAAATGGCAAACTTGCGAGAATGGAACAGGCAGATAAGCTTTACAAGGAGCAGAAACTAAAGAAACAGGAGAACTCTGGTGAATCTACAACAGATGAATCAGAATCTCAGGGTATTAAAAAGAAGTCAAAAAAGAAAAAGAAGTCGAAAGATAGGGAAGATGTTCAGACTGATGGTACACATCAAGTGAAAACAATTGAAGAAAATGTTCTCATTGAAACTGTAGGTGCAACTGAAGATAAGAAATTAAAAAAGAAAAAATCCAAGAAAAGAAAACATGAAAGTATAGAAAATACAAATGACAAAATTGAACATATTGAAAATGAAGCTACAAATGAAAAATCTAATAAAAAACAGAAAAAGAAAAGCAAAAAGGACAATGATGGTGAGAGCATGAATAATGAAATTAAAAAAAATGTTGTAGAGAAACCTTTAAAAAATAAGAAAAAATCGAAAAAGGTTAAAACAAAAGAAGATAAGATAAAGTCTTCTATTGAAGATGATGATTTAAATATAAGCACCAAGAAAAAGAAATCAAAAAAGTCAAAGAAATCAAAAACTTGACAATTTAAGTTTCTGTAAAGACAAAACTTATCACTTACTTTAGAACACCAGGATATTGTAATTATTCAACAGTACACACATCATGTGTGTACACATGTCCTTTTAATAGGATTTGTGAAGTTTCAATTATAACATTTACATTGAAATTGCTGGACATCTCACAATCCCAGAATGCACTATAAGTTGGTGTTGGGTACCAGAATAATACCAAACTCATTATGACAGGTATCATATTATTTATGAAATATGAATGGAAATATGTAATGAAATACTATAATAAAGAACTTGTTTATTATTATTTTGTACGTAAATTATTATGAATTTTGATTGAATCAGATGAGATGAATATAAATCTTATTGAATAAGCAACAATATACTGAATGTTCTGTGATTTTAATGAAAACTTGGTACTTCGTATTTGTTGTGTTGTACAGCCTTGATTGCCATTGGAATATTTTTTATTTTAAAAGGGCATTTTCTATAATTCAAAGTGTATTGATGGTGCTAGATAAATAAATAGAATAACTTTCATACCCCAAAATAGCACCATTCGATTGGCACACATGGTGACTTTTTCATTCTCAATGTATCAACAATTTGATTTGCATGTAAGACTGGTGTATATTGTCAAAATGGGCAGCCTACTGGACATGAGAGCTTCGTTTTTTAAATGATCAATTCTTACAAACATTTTCCCATGTTTTTTTTAAAAATAGAAAGTATATTACCTACCATGAAAGAAACAGTCTGGCAATGAATATCCCTTTAAATGAATTGGACTACTATCAGCTTAACCGATTGAAACCTGGCCACCAATTATGTCATCGGCTTCACTACAATTTCAACTATGATCCTCATCAGTAGCTTGAATAGTCCTGGTCCACATTTATATGAACAACTTATCAACTTGGGTCAAACTTAGGTGCCTTGTCATCCAACTTTGTAGCTATCAAAATTGTTCTCTGAATTGGATTGATCAATACCATGTGAGCCAAAAACATATAGGGGGTAATTTAGGATCATGATTATATAGCCCCCTAATAGTGTATGTAGTGCATTTGAGAATAATATCAATCACAAAAACAACAAATCTGTGTTATTATAAAGATATATACATATATTTTGATCTTATGTCCAATATTCCTTACAAATAAGGGAACATGTAAACAAATTTAAGATTATACAAAACATGCATACAATATATGATATGAAATACACAGATTTCTGTTAAACTGCACTATATGTGCCAAACTAAGTCCATGGTTTTCAGTTTATGTAGAAATCTTCCAACCACCCGCAAAAGCACAAAAATGGTCCATTTTACCATTTTAGGGTGAAATGTTGAAAGAACTTTGGAATCCAAGAGAGAACACTTGAAATATATGAGGTATATGAGCCTTAAATGAATTCAATTCTTTATGAAGAATAACCTGGTTGATACATACTAGTATTTCAAAACTTCATGAAAAAGAAAATGTTTTGCCATTAACAGTGAGTCAGGAATCAACTCAACATTATCAAATTAATAAAAGATAAATTTAAGCAACATGATTTTACCTTTTATATCAAAAATTCAGTCAATGTTGTCTTGAATTGGAGATTTAAATGTTCCTCTCCACTCCCTTTCAGTAAATTTAAGTATAATCATAATCTAAGTATAAAAATATTCTATAATCTGACTGATAAGCTTGATATGCTGAGCAGTAATGTTAATAATAATTTTGTCTACAATGTATTTACTAGATTAGTACTTTGAGACAATTTTACCTTCATCTGTGGAATTTGAAGAAATAATATAATGACGATTCTATTTTTCATCAAAATTCATTGCACATGTATATTATAATATTAATGGCTGATTATGGATCATTGCAGTGAAATGTATAATATGACTTCAATTAATATTTTGCATCAAGGCATTATGGTTTCACATATAAATACATGTAGGTCCAAGGTCATCCATATTGTATGCTATATAAGTAGATTACACCCCAGTCACATTTGTCGCACGGCGGCCGTAAGTCGACCGCAGATCAATTAAATCGGTAAATTTCTACGGCGAGCGTAGGAAAACTACGGGCGCCTTGCGGTCTCCGTATGGCGTATGCAGATTTTTACAGGCCGCAGGGAAGGCGTAGAAATCATAACTCGGAGTTATAATATTTTTCATTTCTGCGGTGCCTGTAGAAATCAACTGGCTCAACCAGATTGAATCATTATTGGTCAATTTTTCACGATCACTTTTCATTTGATATTACATCCTAGCACTATGAATAACATCTATAAATTGTCCTGATGTAAATAAAATGAAAAAAAAGTAATATTTATCAATAGAAATTAAAAATTCACCGTGCGGCTGCCGTGGGAAATGTGACTGCAAAAGTATGAGAGCGTAGAAATTCTACGACGAGCGTAGAAAAGCTACTGGGCGCAGAAATGATAGACCGCACGGCGGCCTTGGGAAATGTGTCTGGGGTGTTAGAACCAAAATAACTTGCATCTTACATGAAACAATGTGATTTCCTATTGGAGACAATGAGAGTACATGTATATAATTATAATCAAGAAACTTTAGACAATTGCACATTTAGTTTTAAGGTAGGCTTGGTGCAGTATTTATATACAGATAATTACATGTATATATATGTATCATAATATGCAGTTTGAAGCACTACACATGGTTTTAAAAAAACTACAAATGGTGTGATATAATGGTTATAGTGTGATAGCTCTGCTCCTGGTGTGATACCACTGCTCTTGTGATAACATTGCTTATGGTGTGAACTACCAGTGGTGTAATAATAATGCTCATGGTGTAGAGCTGCCTATGGTGTGATTACACTGCTCATGCTGTGATAAATGACTATGGTGTAAAAACGCCATATATGGTGTGATAAACCTGCCCATGTGCTGGGTGATGACACTTCTCATGATTATATCATAGATTATACCATAGATTATACCATAGACCATATTATAATATTATACCATAGGCCATATTATATCATAGACCACATTATACCATAGACCATATTATAATCACAGGCCATATTATATCATAGACCATATTATAATCATAGCCCATATTATATTATCTCATCCAAATAGATCAGCAACATGAATGCCTTTCTTGCTGTTCAGGTTCACGTCCATCATGTAAATTTCCTACAAAGTTTGTTTTTACATGATTGCGTGGTGAGACTATATTGTTATTTGACTTCTCCTGTGACATTGTTTCATATAAATTCAGCCCAGAGTTTGGTACTTTTTCACAAAGTTTTAACAGTTCTTTGGCAACTTCAAGAAAGGCAGGTCGAATTCCTGGAAATAAAAACAATTAGGTTAATCCAAGATATACACGCATTTCAGATAATATCTGTTATTTTTACGATTATTAACATGAATCATGTTTGCAACTGACATTACTGAATAACTAATAGCAAAACAAATAGGGCAGTTGTAGTGTCTGACATAGACACATTAGGAAGTACATACCCTGGGTAATGGTCATTGTAAGATTAGGATTTGAAATATTTTCAAATAATATAGCCATGTCTTTATATTTCATCTTTATGTGATGAAGGGGCAACTAAAAAACTACATTTAGTTACCTTCATTTGAAATAGCAGAAGTTTCTAGAAATAAAGCCCCAATAGACGCAGCATATTCCTGACCCTCCTCCTTGGGGACTTGTCTCTCATTGTTCAGATCACACTTGTTTGCCAGCATACACATCACTACAATGCAAAACATCATTAAAATATAATACACTGATACAGTTCAACACATCACTATAATATAACACACTGATACAATTGAACACCCCACTATAATATGTAACACATAAATATGTAATTTCATATAAGGCATTAATATATAGGTGACATGGCCTTATAAGGCTTTAATAGTTACCTATTGCAGTATCAATGTTTTTCTTTAACTCTGACACCCAACTCTTGACATCCTCAAAACTAGCTGCAGATGTGATGTCATACACAAGAAGTGCAGCATTTGCATTTCTGTAATACATGGGTGCCTGAAATGCAAATACACATTATACACAAGAAGTGCGGCATTTGCATTTCTGTAATACATGGGTGCCTGAAATGCAAATACACATTATACACAAGAAGTGCTGCATTTGCATTTCTGTAATACATGGGTACCTGAAATGCAAATACACATTATACACAAGAAGTGCGGCATTTGCATTTCTGTAATACATGGGTGCCTGAATTGCAAATACACATTATACACAAGAAGTGCGGCATTTGCATTTCTGTAATACATAGGTGCCTGAAATGCAAATACACATTATACACAAGAAGTGCGGCATTTGCATTTCTGTAATACCTCGGTGCCTGAAATGCAAATACACATTATACACAAGAAGTGCGGCATTTGCATTTCTGTAATACATGGGTGCCTGAAATGCAAATATAAATATAAAAATTCTCAACAAAAGGGCCATGGTAGTTATTGCAAATCAAGAAATGTAAAAAGTTTCAGTGTACGTGTAATTTAAGTGTACGTGTATTTTTCAATTTACATGCATTATTCAGTTTTGAAACACTTATTTTTGTTATCTTTGTATTCAAAAATATGTATGTTTTTTGGTAAAAAAAGGATTGATAAAAACAGATCACTTACAACCAACCAACCGTGCATTCATTACTTACCATAGATCTAAATCTTTCTTGTCCTGCGGTGTCCCAGACTTGAAGTTTCACCCGGCAACTGTCAAGCAACCTAAAGCCAGAGATAAATAAGAGTTATAAAAGTTTTTCTAAAATAATGGATGCCTTATACAAAAAACTATAATGCAGTGGATTTTGTGAGCTAGATCCAGCAACTAGAACACTTTGGAACGATTGAAATACATTTGGTCAAAGTGAAGAATTCTGAGAACTGAAATATTTTGACCAGTTCTGGGCACTTTGCTTAAAGTATTGATTAAACTTCAAATTTAAAGAGTGAGGTGACATTTTTATTTATCAGGTTTAACAATGTATGTCAGTCGAAGCACTGTGACATACACATGTACATGAATAGCATATTTATATATCTACATGTGGCCATTTTAGATAAATCTAGATGCAGACAGAGATAAAATTAACATGAAATTTAGGTTAGGCCATAAAAATTAGATACTTTGTTTTATATCCATGAAAAATCCAAATTGTGTTAGGGTACAAGGAAAACAAACACAACACAAACTCATAAAAACATAAACTTGTTTGCGAGGAAATGCTGCACGGAAAAGTTTAAGCCATTGGCAATTGGTATACGTATAAGTACATATATCAAAGTTAAATGTAGACAAAAAATCACAACTTGACAATGTGAATGCCACCTTTGAAGTCCTTTAGACAAATGTTACATCCCCATGGATTATTTTTTGGTTAACATTATTGATATTTGGATGTTTTCTTTTTTGACACTAAATTGTGCATGGAAGGGGATGTTAAACAAATAATCTATTTGTTATTTATTAGGTAATGCGAATTGGAAAGCACTAAGGGTTGGTCCGTTGGGACTGACTTACACTTTACATGTGAAAAAGGAGGCACCTATGGTGGGACTAACTGCCCTGTTGAAGGAGTTGCCGACATACCGCAGAACTACACTGGTCTTTCCCACACCTGAAATGTACAAGCATTTATTCTTAATATAGATGCATCTAGTAGGCTATATTATATAGGTTGACTCAAAAAATGTACCCAAAAGTACATCAACAGCATAGACAAACCAATCAATATTTTCAGACATTTTTTGCATGGTCTTGTACTCAAAACATGTAAGTTTTTTCCTGTATACACAGTTTTTAATTCAGTTTGGATATTTTAACCCTTTACCTTTTACACCACATAATCAATGTAACCTCATAGTTCGATGACAGTCTGCATCCTTACCACTACATTGTTCATCACATTTGATATTTCTGGTGGAATGTTTTGATTTCTGTTCGGATGCTGGTCTTAAGTTGTTCAAGGTCTCTTAGCTTGGGTTTAACATAAAAATGGTCCTTCAAATAGCCCCAGAGAAATAGTATGGGGCGTCAAATCTGGTGAATAGGCCCTCACAATGTCTTATAGCCCGGCCCTTATAGAGAGAGGTCAGACGTTCAAGAAACTGCATTGGTTGGGATTTTATTGTAGCGTTTGTTGTGTGTAGAGGGGCTCAATCAATTTGAGACCAGTGTGTTTTCATTCAGATATCATTTGGTCTCCAGGCTAGCCTGCCTAATTTTCGAAGGTTACCCCTGAATCATTTGCCTATAATTGACCTGATTCTCTGTGTTTGTTCTGCCATCGTCATCATCTTTCTCGTTGGCTATTTAAAGGAGTGTTTTAATGCTCATTCCAAGCAAAAAGACCTAGAACACAGTAAGGGCAATTACATCCAAAGAGAAATCCAAAACATTCCACCAGAATTATTATCAAATGTGATGAACAATGTAGCAGTAAAGATACAGGCTGTCATCGAAATATGAGATTACAGTGATTGTGTGGTGTAGAAGGTAAAGCCTTAAAGCATCAAAAAGCCAAGACTGAACTAAAAACTTTGTATTGGAGAAAACTTTCATGTTTTGGCTACATGACCATACAAAATATTGATTGGTTTGTCTGTGCTGTTGATATACTTTTGGGTATATTTTTTGAGACACCCGGCATATCAGCATAATAGTCTGGATGTAGAGCCAATAGAGGTGGAAATGCTTATTATATGAACTTTTTTTGCATTTTCTGTTTAAACATGATATCCATATTCAGAAACTGCCGGATGCCCAACGGGCATCCTTGAGGAATTTTTTTGGCGGCCATTTTGAATTTTCACACGTTTTATGTATTTTAGCCAGCATATTAGAACAGAAAACTAGCATACACATAAACATATCTTGCTGTTTTTTCTATAATAGAGTTTTAATATGATGTATACCAATATGTTAGGTTCCAGAAATGTTTCTTGACAAAAATGAAAAAAATTCAAGATGGCCGCCAACCTTACAATTTATGAAATGTCTCATTCTGTGATAATATCAAATTGATATTAGTGTTTCCTATAAAATTATCAATAAATAATACTAAATACACCTGATTATGATCTCTTTCTCCGTATAAAATATCTGAAATGAGTAAAAGTAACCTACATAATAATAATGATGTTCCACAAGGGTCATTTATTGGTGCTATATATATCTTGAATTTATGAATTATCTTCTTTTACTAAGATTTCATCAAGGATTTCCTTCAATAAATCCTCATCAGTTTTTTCCAATTCCTGTTCAGTTACTGTCTTTGTATGTTGGTTATTGCATTCATTCTCCTTGCAAACACAGAACAATGTACATGATAAAGATGCCTTGGAGCATGAACATCGCCCAGTTCTACATACATTGCCCTCTGATGCACATGTGCACTTAATGAGCTGGAGAATTCCTTCAAGGGCACAGGGTGTATCCTTGGGCATTGTTCTTGGGACAAGTGAGCCCGTGCTGTTAATTTCCCAACCATAATCTGTTGGAAGGATAAGTGGGGGGTCAGGCATATCAGCATTTTTCCATATAGCTACTTGGAAATGAGCTCGCTTCACATGCTGGGAAAATGCTACTGTTGTTGGTGGGAGGGATTTTAGCTTTGGTGCATTTGTAATGTGTTTTGCAACATTTTTCTTTGCTCATACAGTATATCTCACATCAGACATTTTGTCTGTGACTTTAGGTGTAATTCCATAACATCTAGAAACAAATTCTGTTGAAGTTTTCTCAACTTCAGTCATGTCTGCATTGACATCTCCCAAGTTAGCGAGTGAGCATCTATTTAACACCTTCAGGACTGTTAGCTTGCCAATTCCATGCATGCAAGATGTCGTATCACTGCCAGAGAGACCATGCGCAGCTAACAAGTTTGGGATTTTTAATTTGTGTTCATTTACGGTTGCATTAATGTTAATGTTTGCTCGGCCAGATGATGTTCCCTCCATCATCACTATTTGATGAAAATGGAGAAATTAATATCACAACTTCAACAAAATCAACAATGTATAATAAGCATTTCCACCTTCACTTAAAATATGGCACTTCACATCCGGACTATAATGAATTTCTTGGTGATAAGTTTGACCTGCAGTTTACAATAGACTCATCCCAACTTTCATCTGATAAATCTTCTAAAAACAATATACAATTATTAAACCATATATAGTGTATATAGGAAACTCTAAACAGTGTAATTTGTAATTGTAAAAGCTGACTGAGACTGGAGGCCAATGTTAACAGTAAAGTTGAGGTTTACTCTGGATTACGGTAACCTAATCTTGAAAAGAGTTTTTATTGTGAAAAGTACTTCGCTATAAACATGATACCACTAAATATGAAGAAATTCTGTATATTATAGTATTTGAGTTATTTTGGACAAACACATGGCTTCACATCCCTATTCCTATTGACATTTGTTCATTGAGATAATAAAAACATTAACAAGAACACAAATGTGTACAAAATGTCCCCACCAAGTGGTGATCCCGTGAAATGGTTATCCTGAAAATGAGTAGACAAGACTTTACCAACACAATTTGAGGACAGAAAATCCAAAGTGGCCACCTTAAAATTTACCCAGAATGCCAAAAATTTAGTCAGTTCTAGATTTTCATACTAAGAACCACCCCTGAAAATTTGAAATTGATCCGTCACACAGTTAACCAGAAAACATGTAAACAAGACTTTACAGACAAGATTTCAGGATGGAAAATCCAAAATGGCTGCCTTGACATTTACGCAGAATGCAAAAAAAGTAATCAGATGTAGATTTTCATAAAAAGAATCATCCCTGAAAATTTGAAATTGATCTATCAAACCCTTCTCCTAAAAACGCGTAAACAAGACTTTACAGGCAAGATTTTAAGACGGAAAATCCAAAATGGCTGCCTTGACATTTACCCAGAATGCAAAAAAACTAATCAGTTCTAGATTTTCATACTAAGAATCATTCCTGAAAATTTGAAATTGATCTACGAAACGGTTCACCTGAAAACGAGTAGACAAGACTTTACAGACAAGATTTTAGGGCGGAAAATCCAAAATGGCTGCCTTGACATTTACCCAGAATGCCAAAAAACTAATGAGATCTAGATTTTTATACTAAGAATCATCCCTGAAAATTTGAAATTGATCCACCAAACGGTTCACCTGAAAACGCGCAGACAAGACTTCACAGACAAGATTTTAGGACCGAAAAATCCAAAATGGCCGACAATAAAAAAGTCCTTATGAGTTTTTGCTGATTTCTTTTTACAAAATTATCACATATAACTACTGTTAACAATAAAGTAGGCTTTTACAGCAAAGTACATCTGAAATTATTTATAAAGCTACTAAATAGTTAAAGTATGAAAACTCAAAAACACCATTCAATATGATACAAAGTATTATCGCGCGCTAACTTTTCTTAAGACATTCAAAATGGCTGACATGACTGAGCTAGCAGGTCCAAAACCTAATCAGATCTAGAATGAAGTGAGTTGAACAAGATGTTAAAGTTTTAAAAGCAACTGTGAAGCAGTTTTTCTTAAAGTTTGCAGACAAGGATTTTAGCATTTGACTTCAAAATGGCCGACAGGAAGTAGGTATCGAGTTAATTTTTTTTCATCCACATCTGTATGCACTCATAAGTTATCCCTGAAAATTTGAAGGTGATATCTGTAGCGGTTTTGGAGAAAACTGCCGGACGTACGGACAGACAGACGGACAGACGGACAGACAGACGGACGCGCCTAGGCCGACAATATGGCCCCACACTATGTGGTGGGGACATAATAAAAGCACCCATTGCTATCTCAATGTGATCTATAAATATGGGTCAACATCTACTAGACTTATAAACAGTATAATGTGACCTTTATTAATCAATGATAACCATGCATACCAGCACTGAGTAGAAATGATAGATTTATCTAAATTTATTGAAAAATGTTTGTGGGGATAAAAGCGAAACAGAATACAAATGAATTTAAAAAAGGGCATTACTAGTATATTCCAGGAAGGCAATTATTTTCCCCCATCTTGTAAAGTATTGATCTAATAAATCATATCATTCAAATCAATTATAGATTCAACATACAATTAACGAAAGCAAAACAACTTTTCCGGCCCAAGATATTATTTTGAAAATAGGGAGCAAACATTTTCTTTACCTTTCCCAGCTATATGAGGTTTCAAGGGGGAGGGGGGGGTCTTTGGAGATAAGGCTAAAGGTACAAATATCTTTCCTTCTAATAAGCCGAAATATAAGACCATGATGACCTCTCACCAAAGGCAGGGGTCCAGATATCATCCATTCTGTTCCTTCCTTCTTTATATATGAAAGGAACAGATTGGATGTCCAAACACCTGCATTCTAAGGCTAAGTAGTCATAACATGCAAGTGGTACATCACTGTTGTTTGTCAAGACTCAGGAGACAATGGCTTCTGAAGGGGTTTATCACTTATTTATAATGACTAAGATATCACAGTCTAATGGGGACAATATCAAAATCATCAAATGACATATTCTGATTGAAAACATTCTGTGTTCATTTTGAAAATATGTCTATTTTTCATTAGCCAATATGCTTTTCATTACTGTTTTCTGTGCAACTATGGGTCTTCTCTCGAGATGATTTTTTTCAAATACAGCCTAACTTGAACTGGAGATAAAGGAGGTGATAAAATTGTAACACCTAAGAATTTACAACTAACGCTCCAATCCCATATAATTCTGAGATATTACAGATATCTTATCAAATGGTTATTGAGGATTAATGAGATGAGTGCCATTCCATTACAGGGTGTTCCATATGTTTCAGGAATGATGCTGTGTTTTATTGGTTTTCTTTTCAATCTAAATGAATTTTTGACACAATGTGTCTAAACATGTTTTGAATAAGTTGGAAAAGTTTCATATCGTGAAGTTCAGTAGTCTTAATTATATGGTTGCTATAGTAACCTAGGGGTAGGGTAGGTGGAGCAGGTGTAACAACGCGCAAAATATATGAAAAATTGGTAAAAATAGTTTTTTTTGTACGAAGTGTGACTAAGTATTAGGTTGTCAGAGTTGGATCAAACTTGTCAGTAATTAAACAAAAATGAAGGTGGATTTCAAGAAAGTAAAAAAAATGTCACCACCCTTGATCACATCACAATTTAAACACCTGTCATGTCATGAGTCACAAAGGAGAATAAACACAGGTAATTTTAGAAGAGCGGCCATCTTGAAAAGTGAAAGTCATTAGCAAAGGAAAACCTTCGACTTAGGCAATACACAACAATCTGTGACAAGACATGACATGTGTGAATAACAGTTTTCAATGATGGTAACCTCTAGAGTGTATGAGTAGTACAAGCGGTTCAAATCTGGAAGGAAAACTGAGACCGATTATCCAAAATGTGGACATGCGAGAACAGTGACAGCGCTCACTAATGCGGAAGGGATAGATGCTGAAATAATGATGATGGCTAATAAAGGGTTTGATAACATTTTTAATTTCCAGGAATCCACCTTTATTCTTTTTAATTTCCAACAAGTTTGATGCGACTATGACAAGTTAATACTTTGGACTCTTTATACAAAAACTACTATTTTTACAAAAATGTTATGTTTTGCGCGTTGTTACACCTGCTTCACCTACCCTACCCCTAGGTTACTATAGCAACCTTATTATTCAGTCTACTGAGTTTCATGATATGAAATTTTTACAACTTATTCACAACATATTTGGACACATTTTGTTAAAAAATCAGCTAGATTGAATAGAAAACCAATAAAATACAGCATCATTCCTGAAACATATGGAACACCCTGTAAGTGTGCCAATTAAGGCCAAAATAATATTCGGATCTAAAACCACATTTTTATTTTTAATGGGGACAGGGTTCACAATTAAAGGTTAAACATGACTGCCTTTACATATATTGACCCCTGTCCATTGCCAAATAAGACAAAAAGGTAATAAACAACAATAGAGGAGGTGCTCTCATAGTCTACCTTATACCCATCCTTCTTCAAAGGACTTCATTCATGCTTAAATTCAATTGCAGCAAGGATGCCTTATCAAAATGAAGATTGCCTTCAAGTCAGAGTTACATAGTGTATGATCCCTAATGGGGACAGGGTTCACAATTAAAGGTTAAACATGACTGCCTTTACATATATTGACCCCTGTCCATTGCCAAATAAGACAAAAAGGTAATAAACAACAATAGAGGAGGTGCTCTCATAGTCTACCTTATACCCATCCTTCTTCAAAGGACTTCATTCATGCTTAAATTCAATTGCAGCAAGGATGCCTTATCAAAATGAAGATTGCCTTCAAGTCAGAGTTACATAGTGTATGATCCCTCAGTTGTTGTTTAAGTGCTATTGTACTATTAACTATAAAATAGAGATAACAGTAAGGACTTCTTATTGGTAAAAGTACAGTACCACAAAAACAAACAAAAAATAAACAAAGCTTCACCTCATAGTCTTTCTGTGAGGTATATGAGCTAATAAATATGGTATATACATTATGATGATTATTATTAATATACATGTTAAATAGGAAAAGCTCAAAATCAAGTTGAGGCTGATGGTAGCAAATATATATTATTATAAAGACATGTTTGATTTCATAAATATGACAAAATGTTAATAAGCAAAAGACATAGAATTGCCAAGTCACCATCTCCTGTTAAAGACTCATGTTAAGCAAAACGTAAAACTTGTACTACATTATATGAACAAACCAAATGATACGTCAGCATGTGACTTGCAAATTTTTCATTTTGTCATTTTTACTTTTTCATTTGACATTTTGATTGAATAGTAGACTTGAATAGTAGATTGACTAGTAGACATCATTAGTTATCAGTACACAGCACATATGTTTGAGTCTTGAATTCTATACTGTCATGCAAGTCACTATGACTGATTATTCTGAGTAGAATACCTGTACATAGAGGGTGGGTCCTTGTGTCTATTTTTGAACTTTGCATGCCATATTACTTTTTCATATACATGTAGTCATAAACTTCATAAATATTTTCTCTGTTAACAGCATCAATAGCAAATTTATTAAATTATATTTACCATATTCCCTCTTATAGACACATGTGCTCCGATAAACCACACCCTACTTTTTCCATGAAAGACTCTCTCTCAGAAAGGTCACTAATATAAACCCTCTAAAACGAACGATGATGAGAATTTGGAAATTTGAAAAAATAGACTAAAACTGTTCTGAAGAGTGCACTTTTTTCCTTCTTTTGGCCGCTGGTTTTGTTGGAGACAATTTTTCCTAAATGTGTTGCTCGATCAGTTTAAATATTTGTTTGAAGAATATATTGTGGAATTTTCAGAAATTTTAGGTGATCCGGTTTTCATGAACTCCTCTTCAAAAATAGTTGTCATTGATAATATTGCATAAAGACCTATGTAACAAAAAATGACTTATCAGTTTGAGTTTGAAAATTTCAGTCTTGCATATTTTTCTGAGTTTCCGTTCACTTCCAGTTCATCTTAATTCATATCAAAATGAAATATACTTAAGCTGGACCCCTGCTTAAATATTATGTTTGCATTTTTCTTTAAAACTTTTGCAAAAATCAAATGTACACTACACTTGCACCCTCCCCCCATAACCAATAGAAATAGAACAATTAGACAGAAGGAAAAGAAAAGAGCTTTAAGGCGACGCTATATTAAATAATAAGTACAAAAAATGACTGCCATATTTTTTTGATAAAGACACATGTTTTTAAAATCTGTTTACCTTGTATATGAATTGTGTATCTTGACTAATGAAACATGTCAAAGTTAACATCACACATAAACGCATTTTTCCAAACTATGAATTGGAGGTGCATGGATCCCCAAAGCTAGCATGAAGAGTGCGAAGTGAGGCTAATTTTTGAAAGTTTCAAGGAGTAGCCTTGCAACAGTCACACATTTGCAAGAGTCTAAAATTTCCACAAATCATCTTACCTTTCCCAGGAACAACGAAGGAGCATGAAAATGTGCACTTCTTGCATTGTTAGAGTATAATAAACCTCAAACCATTGTAAATTCCAAATATTTCATGTCCACATTTTGTTTGCCGGAACTACTTCTAGACTTCCTGATTAATCCTCATGCAAGTTTTGTGACTACACCAAGTGGCATGGATTATCACTTGTATGTTTTATCTATTACAGTGTAATTATCATGATAGATACATGATAGAGGCTTTATGAATGATAAACAATGGAAACATGAATGAAGATAACTCTGGACTAAAAAATAGTTCCAGGAAACAAAATGGTGGACATGAAATATTTAGAATTCACAATGGTTTGAGCTTTATTATACTCTAACAATGCAAGAAGTACACATTTTCGTGCTCCTTCGTTGTTCCTTGGTAAGGTAAGATGATTTGTGGAAATTTTAGACTCTTGCAAATGTGTGACTGTTGCAAGGCTACTCCTTGAAACTTTCAAAAATTAGCCTCACTTCGCACTCTTCATGCTAGCTTTGGGGATCCATGCACCTCCAATTCATAGTTTGGAAAAATGTGTTTATGTGTGATGTTAACTTTGACATGTTTCATTAGTCAAAATACACAATTCATATACAAGGTAAACAGATTTTAAAAACATGTGTCTTTATCAAAAAAATATGGCAGTCATTTTTTGTACTTTTTATTTAATATAGCGTCGCCTTAAAATGCTTTTTATTTGAAGCTTCCGACACAATTTCGAAGGAAGTTGCATCAATTTCTGTCAAATTTAAAAGAAATCTTACAAAAAAATTGCCTTGCTTTTGTCATGATTGTGCCCCCCCCCCCTTTACTGAAAACCCCCAAAAAATTTGACGATCACAACCCCTGAAAGAAAGCTGGCTACACCCCTGATCCTGCAACAACAATCAATCTACATCTACACTGCTTCCTTCAATGTCGTATTTGGAAGCGTCAAAGAACCTATCACATACCGGTAAGTAGACATGTGGTGAACAATTAAATTATTTTAATTTTTCAGGATGAAGTTTTAAAAATTTTAAGTTTATAGAGATAAAACAAAGATTAAAAATCAATGAAACAATGAAATATTGAATACCTTGTGTTCCTAGCACTACGACCTTTGCTTCAACCGACTTCATTACATCACAGAACACAAGAGGTCGCTTCAATTAAGTAAAATATTCCAAATTTCGTAAATCCATTTTTAAAAGTCCGTCTACCATTTTGAATGTCATGTGACCTGTACAGTCTCGAAAACAAACAATAATAGCACTATTTCATGACTGCAACAAAATATTATATCTTTTTAATTGGTAAAAACACATTACATGAATGTCACTTTGATACAAATGATTTCCTTTATTTTGTAGAAGAAACTTTTAATTTATTAATTGATGTTTTGAGACTACTCTTCACTTTCACTTCGGTTTCCAGGTTTCGACATGGCTGATGAGATCAGCAAGGCACAAACCGCATCTCCCGGGGGAGATACTATATTTGGGAAGATTATAAGAAAGGAGATCCCTACTAAGTTCATTTATGAAGATGAGCAGGTAAAGTATACCATGTTATAAGCTTGCATAAAACTGTCAGTTCAAAATTCATGATGTGGATTTGTTTTTTTGAAAAAATATCAAACTCAAGTCAAAAGAATAAACAAAAGGCAAGAGGAGTTTCTGTCCAAACCATGTCAAAGGACAGTTCAGTATGTTATTGAAAATACACATACTGTAAACATTACTTTCGTCATGACATCCAATTCATCGAATCCCATTCGTCCGAATCCTATTCGTCCAAATCCAATTCGTCCAAATTTCAAGCGTCCGAATCTCAATCGTCCGAATACCAATCATCTGAATTCCAAATGGTCTGAATTCTGCCTAGATATGCTTAATTATTTATCGAGATAAAGATAAAAGGTGCAAGAAATGTTTGAACGTGGAATCATGTACATCACGTTATGTGTGACTATTAAATAACATTGATTCCCTATTTAGCCATGGTTATTCAAAATATAGCATTTTACGCTTTGTATTCTTTGCTGCCACGCTACATTGATGTCAGGCTTTATTTCTGATTTGGGATCAACAGAAAAGCGACTCATTTGCTTATAGCCGATTCTTTTAGAATGTTCAACAATTAATTTGAATGTTAAAATTAGTGCGTTATTAACTTTGAGATTAAACACTATGCAAGATTGTGACTCGGACCAATGGGATTCGGACCAGTGTGATTCAGAAGATTGGGATTAGGATGATTGGGATTTGGACCATTAAGGATTCGGACGAATGAGATCTGGACCATTGGGATTCGGATAAATGGTGTGTCCGCGCGGAACTCACAATACTTTCATTATGGCTTTAAAGTCAATTCCGTATTTTTGGTTTTCCAGTGTGTTGCATTTCATGATGTCTCCCCACAGGCACCTATCCATTTCCTTGTCCTACCTAAGAAACCTATAGTGCAGCTGTCAAAGAGTGACGATTCAGACGAGCAGGTAATTATTTGTTAGTTTATTTGTTGTTGTTGATACTGAGAAAATTAAACATCTATTTCTATTACTATGACATCAGTCCAAGATAAAGTTCCCTTATAATGATTTTCACTTTGGATGAATGATGACTTGCGAGCAAATTTTAAGTTGCAACGGTAGTAAAAATGAACCCCTGAATAATAAACAGAAATAAGAGTGAAAAATGCAGGACCAGCTAGGTCAAGGGCTAATAAACGTAAATTCATCAAACAATTAGCATAATTTATCAAACAATTAGCGTAATTTATCAAACAATTAGCACAAATTATCAAAAAATTAGCACAATTTATTAATTTCAAACAATTAGTGTAATTTATCAAACAATTAGCACAATTTGTAAAACAATTACTATTAGCGTAATTTATCAAACACATTAATCAAACAAAACCAAGTTTGTCTGGAAATGTGAAACCCTGTATCAGTAAGTTTGTCTGTCTGCGATAACTCATAGATATAAGAATTCCAACTGTTCACATTTGGGGAAGACTGTATAATTGTACAGTACAGCCAAAAAATATTTTTCTCAAAATGAAGGTAATCTAAGTATTTGAAGTTGATATTTAAATGTAAAGTGAAGTTCTTGTGAAAGGTAGGATCTCACAAGTACATTATATGATAGTTAAGTGGTCTCATCTTGCAGCTTTTGGGGCATCTGTTATGTGTGGCGAGGAAGGTAGCTGTACAAGAGAAACTGGATGCTGGATTCCGAGTCATCATCAACGATGGTAAAAATGGTGGTCAATCAGTGTACCACTTACACGTACATGTGCTAGGAGGACGTCAAATGGGATGGCCACCAGGCTAATAATAGTGACATTCCATAGCATTTGGGTCATGAACATTTTTATGAATCTTCTTTCATTTATTACTTTTAATCAATCATGAATCTGGAAAAGATTGAGGGAACTCATGAAATATTTTGTTTACCGTAATTGGTATGCTTCTAAATCAAGCTGAATTAATGCAAATTAAATATTTACATGCAATAAATATACTGAAGTAAAATTATGTATTGGTACTTATGTGCTTTTGGTGTCAATTTGAATGTAAAGATGGCAGTTATATTGAACTGTAGAAGAGTGAACCTGAAATGTCTTCCTTATGAAGTTACCTGTTGGGAGGACTGGAGGAGTGACAGGCATCTCTCAGTATTAAAGTGAGTAGGCACTGAACTCCCAGAGTGCAACATCGATATTCTGTCCCATATATAGGCATGTCATGATACAAAATTCGATTTCAAACTGCCGCCATTTTGTTCACTTCAACATTTGAATCGTGAATTTTGGTATTATTTCCTGACGAAAAATTCCAAAACTCACAAGAAATGATTGAGATAATGGTTTGAATCTTTTGAACTGTTTATTTTGAATTTATAGTCTGTTATAATTTCAGAAAATAACGACATTTCAATGTTTTCATTGTTGGAAAATATCGAGTTTCGATCCTGGGAGCCAATCCTGCTTGTCTGTAGTAATTACTTTATTAAATTACTTTGGCTCTGTATAGGGGTATGGTGGTCCAGGGTGGTCATAGGACTCATGTAAGACTACAGCGAAACAGATATAAAATAAATTATATTGGGTTTATTTCTCCCATGGAGTTTCATTTTGTACAAACTTTTTACATCCTATTTACAATTTCTAAATTGTACACTATTTACATTTGTCATGGAATATTTACAACAATGAGTTATGGTTCTATAAACAATGCATGTGCTGATTTCTAAAAGATATTTATTTCATGGCTACATTGGTGTTCCATTATGATTGCATTAGATTGCAATTATTGCTTTAGCGTCAGTATCTCATCATCATGAGACACTGCTGCCCTCTATCAGTTTTCTTTCTTTCCTACATTATGACCCTTAATCCTCCATCTCTCTCACTCAGTAAGATAGAGAGGGAGAACTTGGTCTTAAAGCAAGATTAAACATTAGAAAGTATCTTATTTATTACTAAATAACATTATATTAAAATTGTTCATGTAATTTGATCATTGACATTATGTTTCTCAAACTTTGTTTTTTATGTGCTGATATACAGGATGAGTTTCAAGTTCTCAAGTTCTAAAAGTACTTATGAATTGTTTTCTGTCATAAAGGGCTCATATTTCATTGGTATAATGGTCACTGTAATATCACTAAACAACCACGAAAGTTCATTATTTTTTAAGAAAGTCTAGAGTGAATGTCATGATATATTTGCTTAGTCATTTCTACCCTTCTTACTGCTGTCATAGGCTTTCCAGATGTCAAGAAGGCCAATGATGCTGTAAATGTATATGAGTTTCTTTTTTTGCAGTCGTAAACCATGAAAAGAAACCCAGAATACAAAAGGTGTTAGTTTGAAAATTTTAGCGAAAGTTCTTTTTGTTGTAAATCGTTAGTCCTGGCTAGTGTTCTAGTTCATTGAAAGTTCAGGGCTCATACATGGAGTCTACTTTTTATAAGGAGGAGGTGGGCGCTCAGGTTGTTGCTTCTGAGCTCCACCAGATGGCACTCCTTGTTTGGTTTCATTTTGGGCATTTTCTTGTTGCATGCTCACAGCACCATCTACATTTGATGATGCAATTGAGCTCTGTTGGCTTGTGAGGGAGTCATAGGCTGGTGGTACCTCCAAGACGTGTCCCCCAACCCCTGGGGCGGCATGGACCCCAGGGTACTGCAGACCCCCAGGTTGGCCTGGCAGGTTGTTCACTGTGTACACCTCCGTGAAACCATTACTGCCATAACCTGGAAAAATACAGTAAAATGCATAATAAATTTACAATTAAACTCATCTTTCCGAATACTTCTCTTATCTGAACACCTCACAATGTAAATGCTTTCTCTTCACCCCATATCAACTCACATATTTAAAAAACGAACACATGGCTGCACCCAGCAGCATTCATATTAGATAGGTTTTACTCTGTGTTTATGTCATTCCATAACTGATTTCTGAATTTTGAATGTTTTACAATAATTAAGGCATTTTCAGCTTCTATTTTCAATTGTTTTTGCATTGCTTGATCACATTGTAGACAATAATTTATGGTTTTCTACTTTTATAGTACATATTGTTTGGTAATATATCAACCCGAGTATCTTGTCTTTAACATCAAGGTTAATAATTCAAATACAATGTATCAAAAGTGCCATTGAATCATTAAGGAATGTTAGTTCATTGCTTTAGAATTTGCTTGTGATTTATTGGATCATTGACTTTAAGTTTAATCTTTTAATTTATGTTCCCTTGGTATTTGATTCTGCCCCATGTGACATGATAACATGTTAAAGTTGTCACATGTTTATGAATCACCTCCTCTGTTTGTATTGCACAATCCATACCTTGGTGTTGACCTGTAATCATAATTTGCAGGAATGGGTGTGCCTTCTAATCTTATCAGATGTTAACATACAGTAAAACCTGTCTAATCTGATTGGCTAAAATTGTTTGGGTTAGCAGATGTTCACATTTCAAAGTTTTCTAAATATTTGAATTAATTGGAGATAAAAAATTTGCGATCCAGAAAAAGTGTTGACATTGAGAGCTGTTTGGATTAGAGAGGTGTTCAGAAATACACTTTCACTGTAGTAGTATTTTAAAAATTATTAGTTTTTAAGGGGCCGATGAAGGGATTAATCTGATTTGACTGTTTTATCACCCTTACCTAATCAAGTTTAAAAATTTGAAACTGATAAATGAATTATTTTGAATAACTTGATAACTTGGAAATAAGGATTCTGATAAAAGTCAACAGAAGCCTAAATAATTCAGTTTTTTCAAATAATCACAGATATGCTTATTGCAGATTTAATCTAATGAGCTTTTTATCGACATATGTCTTGATTAGTGTTCCTCTTTGTCCAATCGTAATTTAAAAAGGGTTATGTAATGGTAGGTTTTGGATATACAGTTTATCCTGATGGAACTTATATTTTACCCTATGAATTGTAAGTAGTCCAATGATGAAGTAAATTATATTTCACCATAATATATTAAATGTATTATAATATAATATTAGATATAATATAATACTGTATATAAAAATCCCATATGAGGAAATTTGTAACCAAAGCCCAGCCATTATGTAACTTTAAAATATGGGAGAAAAAGATGTTTAGATTACATACCCATATTACTGAATTGTCCTTCTGCCACTCTCTGCCCATAGATGGGGTCGTTGTAGCCTGGATATGGTTGGAAGGGTTGACCAGCCATATTAGTCGCAATAATTTGGTTTCCTGTGATGATGACGTTGTTTTGACCTGGTGGTAGGCATTGAGTGACATTCTCTATCAGTTGGTCTTCTTCCTCAATACGTCTGTTGTATTCACGAACGAGACATGGTAGACGGCAGAAATCGCTGAGCCATCCAATACCCAGAAGGCCAAAGGTGAAGACGTAGATCAAACCCCAGATGTGACGTTCAAGGTAGAAGTGATGAAGCCCAAGAAGTCCAAAAAGCGGGAAGCACAGAACGTATGCATCATCAAGGTGCTTCTTTCGGTCAACCTTTCCAGATTTGTGCTCAACTTGCGTTCTCTTGAATACGCATGACAGCCTGCAAATATCAAAGAGCCAGCCCAAGAAGAATAGCCCTCCAGTGAATGTATAGAGAATTCCCCAGCCGGTTCGTCCCATGTAGTAATGATGAGCCCCAAAAATACCAGTTGGCGCCACACATAGCACATACGCAGTTGTTAAATCAATATCTCTCTTGGGGGTTTCATGATTACGCTCATCCTCTAGCTGTTGATTCTTTTTGTCGACGAGTGACTTCATGCAAAAGCCATCGATGATCCAGCCGATGCCGAAGCCCCCAATAGTGAACAAAAAGAGAAGCCCTATGAGGGGACTGCCAAGGTAGAATCTGTGGAATCCTACAATGTTCAAACAATGATTTTAAATTTTAATGATGTTTAAAACAATGATTATCACTATGGTTTATGATATTTCTTAATGTTTTACTGTATAATATTTGATTTTTGCTTTATACTGCATCTTAATGCAAATTACTGAGCCCTTCTGTTGAAAGCCCATGATGAATTAAATATATTTGAATTCAGAAAAGTGAGAAGAATAGACATGAATCTGATTAAAATGTAAAATATGTTTTTACATATCAATGTGAGTTACATATAAATTATTAGAAATAGAATGAATAATGCAACTCACCAAATATTCCCAATGGAAACCATAACACGTAAGCGTCACCGAGACTTTTCTTAGGTGTACTATTTGGATTTTGAAGTTTACGATTTGCTTCTTTTACAAGGCATGGCATTCGGAACCAATCGACGACCATTCCTACTCCAAAACAGCCTAATGTCAGCAAGTACACTATCCCCATGCCATATCTCCGCAGATAGAAGTTGTGGAGTCCGAGAAACCCTAATGGAAATCCAAGCAGGTAGGCGTCACATGTGCTCTTGGGGGTAAAGGGTCTTTGACGTGCGATCATCACAGTTTCACCTGTTCTTTGTCCTTGTTCCGCCATTGTTGGGTCAACCATCTGTTGTGGAGTAGGGGAGTGTGGTACTGTGGGTGGGGCCGCCTGAGGGTATTGCACATTCGGGTAAGACGCAGGGGGTGCAATCTGCCCTGGATACTGATTGTATGGGCTCTGTACAGGAGGTGGGACTCCCATTGATGGTGTTGGGCCCTGCATGCCTTGTGTTGGGCCCTGCGTACTTTGATAAGGGCTCACATTTTGCTGTCTTGCTTCTTCCTCCTTTGTCTGTGTCATTGCTGTTGAAAATTTTTGAATGAACCTGAATTTCCAGTAGACTGTTTATATAGCTACAAGCCTGCTTTGGTGATTCATGGTCATGATAATCAATAATCTCTCATGAAAGATATTGGACACAAAGTCCAGACTCAAATAACGTCATTGAATAGCTATTGGTTTATCTTGGCCTTTTATGTTATGTTTGCATTGGGATTCAATTGAGAAAGGTGATTTATGCATACAGGTGTAAACAGTCACTACCTGTAAGTACTACATTTATGATTCATAATCACATGGTGTTTCTCCAGTGGACTTCACCTTGTTGAATCAATGTCAAAGTTGAAATGTATGAATATGCAAATGAGGGATTTCCCAAAAGGGAATCACCAATCTCGCTTTGGGTATTTTGAAATGTCAATAAACCTTTATATTTCAGTTGATAAATGCTGATAACCAGAACGGAATAGTGTTAAAGGTTGACATGGGGGACAATCGCCAGCCATTAGATTCGATTGATGCTACTTATAAAATTCTTATTCTTGGAGATTCTGGAGTTGGGAAAACTTGCACAATTTGCAGATTTTGTGATCAAAAGTTCCATGAATGTTATGTAACTTCAATAGGTGAGTGAAACAAATAGATTATTAAAAATTATGAATTGCTTTGGAGAAAACTGATTCTGGTAGAATCCATGTCTTTTTGATACTCCCTGACGATTTTTAGTAGAAAGTATTGGAATCAATTGTCTTATTTCAAATTATTTTATTTTATATTTAATTGAATGAAAATGTTCTTTTAGATTGAAAATCAAGGCCAGTGAATGCAATTGGAATTAATCAGAATACATGTGTTGCACCTCTCTGTTTTTATCAAAATTAGATGAAAATGTTATTTTTTCTTTTTCACATTAATCAGACCAGCATTATATCTGATTTATTTGAAGTTGCATCTTTCATATTTTTTTATTTTGTATGTCATGTTTTTGTACTGAAACTTTGTCTAAATGTATATTTACATTAAGTGGTTACTGTAGAGATTGAAAATAAGTCATTGCCCTGCATCATCACTAGAGCTAGTTGAAGTATTAGTTTATTCTGTTGATATGGTTTGAGGTGTTTTTAGAATATCTTTCAAATAATGCCCTTTGTTGTTTTTGAAGCAATATATCTGTATATGCACAGTATATAGTACTTTTTACATTTTTTATTATTCTTTGTCTTTGTAGCTGCAATATCAATAGCAAGCCTAGAGTTCTTGAAACAATTGGGAAGAGGCATAACATTTTGGGTTCCTTGTCTTTCTGTTTCTTTGATGGTTTTAAACTGAAGTATCAGTTCAGTAGGAAACCCATGAAAGTCCTTCAATGTTCAGTTCAGGAAGAGATCTTAAGGAAGAGGATATATTTTTTCTTTGTCTATTTGCTAAAATATAAGCACTGAAGCCTTGGAAAGCCCTTCACATTCAGAAAGTTGTTTCCTTATCATATTTTTGAAATTGAATTTCCTATTCTCACCTGAGATGCCTGGCGAGCCACAAGATAACAAATGAACTTTGTTCATATCTGAGTATAATAGAAGTTTTATAGCTGAAGTATGTTGTCCACTCATTACATGCACATGCACTATTTGATTTCAAATTTTTAAACCTTATAGCTTATTTCTTTCTTTTTGTTTTGTGTTTGTGTCATGTTGGCCATTGTGGTTCTGTTTTAAAACACACATATCTTGTCAATGACAAATATGGGATATTTGAGTTGGTCCTTTAAATTCTTGACCTTCCAACTCAACATACACAAAGTGCACTTTTGTACACTAAGCTATAATTAAAAATTTAACACTCAACTTAACCTTGGAGGTGCAATAAACTTATGTTCTAAATAATGTTTTTTGAAGCTTAAAGTGTATAAAAGCAATTCTTAAATGCAAGCGCAACCCAAATGGTGTTTTATAATGTGTTACTATAGATGACGTGACTTTACAGGATTTATTTATTTGTATAATATCCGCTACATTGTGCCCCATGTCACTTGTTAACAAAGACATTTGTTTTCATACCTTTTAGCTATTCATGAAATTGATTTGAAATTTACAAAAAATTATGAATAAAGAAATGGAGAGAAAAGTATGATTTCATCCGCCATCAAACCAGAAAATCAACATAAATTCCATCTATCTGAATATTATTTTGTGTTGAAATTAACAGATCAACAATTCCATTTTACATAAGAGTCATATGGAGATACTTTGGTATTTTAAGCACATATAAACAGAAACATAAATGGTCTACTTAATTTGGCTGACTCTAACGATTTGCTGGACCCATTCAGTTAAATTAAGCCAAATTAAGTAAAAGTACAGTATTTTATATCCCCATTCCTCATTTTAATAGAACTACCATGAAGTGATGACATATTGTTATTTCCAACTTTTTTCAGCAATTAAATTCTGCAACAATTGTTTCATTTTAGTTATCGTAACAAGTTGATACATTTTTGTCTTGAAAATATTTTGTCCTTGCAAATATTGTTTTAGTTTGTTTCAAAAAGAAAAAATGGATCAAATTTTTCTAACCTGGTTAAAATATTGAAATGTTTTTAGGTAATATTTGCCAGTTTTTAACATTTTATTTTCAAAATACTTTTTACACAAATACAATTTGTGATTTCATAAGATTAGGACACGTAGGCCCATTGCTCAAATTTGAAAACATAATTTGTATAGATTCGTATTCGTATTCAAAGTTGGAAGGAATTTTATTGAAACTAACTATAAAAGGTAATTTGACGCTCAAGGTCTTATGTCATCTCTGGTATTCAAGCTGAAGGTCTTGTGTCATATCTGGTATTCAAGCTCAAGGTCTCATGTCATCTCAGTCTGGTATTCAAGCTCAAGTTCTTGTGTCATCTCTGATATTCAAAAGAAAGAGTTTGAAACTCTTAACTGGCTAACTGCCAATAGCAATTACTATTTGCACTTTTGGCTATGAACTTGAAAACAACAGTTGGATATTTGGCAATGGACTGAATGCCAATATGTAGAATTGGGCAATCTTATTTCCAACCTTATAATCCTGACCCTGAAAATAACTCTGTCAAGAGGTGAAAAAAAACAGGTCTGGATTAAAGTTATTGTTGTATTGTCAGACAAAGGGAACACCTGTTTTATGTAACTAGGAAATATTAAATAGTGTTCATATTAATAGCAGATGTCTAGTATCAGCTAGTTTTCTAGCCATGACTAAATGATTCTGAAAATATGGGTCCAAATCATATTTTTTCTCCTTTTTCAATGTTTGATCAAGGTCGTCGTGAACCTTTATATGAGATTGTATACCTGTAACATAATACAATGATCACAAACCTGAATCTTTGAATAGCATTCACTTGTTAATACGTGAACTGAATGTTTTGTGATTTTTTCAATTCAGGTTAAAGTTGTCATCATATTCCTCATAATGTATAGATGAATAAATTCCAATGTATTTTGATATCATGTTTCAACAATGTTTTGATATTATATTTCAAGAGCATAAAGCTAAGTGGTTTATCTGACTTGAATGTAAAATGAATGGTAGTGTCATTATGAACATAAAACAACATAAAACAAGGGAACTAGAAGAGTGGAGATTAAGTTTCCTAAGTTTCCTTAAGGTTAACTGGCAAAGATTGCTTCCAACATTTTCCACTCTCTGTCTATTCCCATACTTTTAATGGTTGCACACAAATTACTTGATATTTTCAATTTATTTATATTTTGAATTACTTGATATTTTCAATTTATTTATATTTTCAATAACTTGATATTTTCATTTACTTGCTATTTTCAATTACTTGATATTTTCATTTACTTGCTATTTTCAATTACTTGATATTTCAATTACTTGATATTTTCATTTACTTGCTATTTTCAATTACTTGATATTTTCATTTACTTGATATTTTGAATTACTTGAAATCTTCATTTACTTGATATTTTCAATTAATTTATACTTTCATTTACTTGATATTTTCAATTACTTGAAATCTTCATTTACTTGATATTTTCAATTAATTTATACTTTCATTTACTTGATAATTTCAATTACTTGATATTTTCATTTACTTGATATTTTGAAAGTGACAAGCCTTGCTGAGGCTTCAAATTGAAACCAGAGGATTTCTTTTTTGACAAAGAAATATCTAATAACTTACTATCGGAGGCAGACCTGAAATTGGGGTGGTTGCATTTGTCTTTTGAAATGTAAATATTTTTTATGAAACAAAAATGTGTGATATTTGACGATTGATATATGTCTTTTTCAGGCCTAAACTATAAGTGAGATAAACTTAAAATATGTATTTTTGTCAAATGAAGATGTTTGTATATTTCTTGAATAATGTAGTGTTATTAATATGCCGTATGTGTGTGTTTTAGGCCTAGACTGTAAACAGCGAGTAATAGATCTGGATGGCTCTAATGTTAGACTCAGAGTTTGGTAAGTTGAGTAAATCATAATCAATTTAAAAATCTACATAAATCTACATTAAAACCTGTCTGAAGTGAACACTGGTAGAACAGTATACAATTGTTGACCTCTCCAGAGGTATACCGAGACTGTAAACCTAGAAAATACTGTTGACAGAGACCGAAGGTCAAGGTCAACAGTAGTTTCAAGGTTTACAGTTGAGGTATATGATTTTGACCGTTGACCGAATGGGGAGGTCTACAATTGTTTTGTTAGTCCGAAGAAACTAATAATACACATATAGACGACAATCATCAATCGACATGGCTTCATGTCACAATCTTTTCTCTCTATATTCGGCACATCACAGCGTACTCACTAGTAAATAGTTAATTTTACGTTTCTATTTGTAATTTTGCTATACTTATCGTCTAGTAAAGTAAAAATATCACTTTCATCAACATTTACAAAATGTCCGTCTACCATGTTTTTTTCTGTAAACATTATGACGTCATATTCCCTATAATTCACAAGTGTAGTACAGTAACATACGCGGTCAATAATATGATATCCCATGATGCACAGGTGGGGTACAGGCAAAAATGTTGACCGCTAATTGACCAATCAGATACGAGTATTTACACTGAGGTACTAACAATTTAAAAATGTTAACATTGAGAAATGTACAGCACTGAAATTGGGGTCAAGTCAGAAGTAAAAGTCTATAAGTTGCTGTGACATTGATTCAGATGAAGTGAAATAATATATAACTCACGCGGTCCCAACTTATCGAAACCACTACGTGCCGCAAAACTGTTGATTTGATTTTTAACCTACCAGGTGTTTGAAAATCGAGGATATAAGTCTCACACTGCACCGTTTTTCTTAAAACTTGTACCATACAAAGCAAAACAAAAATGCCTTTCTGTTGGTAAATTGCTTTATTGTACAGGGTCTCTCGTTTTAGCCACGTTTGGGTCCCCAGCTGTAAGATCACACAAATTTTCATAGATTTCAACTGTAAGTCGAGTTATCTTGTCAATCTTTTTCTCGTTCTCGCCCATAATTTCTGTTTTGGACGTCTATTACAAACCTCCATTGCTGTGTCTACATTTTTTGCATTAAACACAGCAGTTTCGAAAACATCCTAACGTCTCTTAAAAATTGATCACAAGGTTCTGTTGTCTTCCACACTACGGCCTGTCAGGTCTGTTGCATTGATAGAATTGCTGGGGCATTGTGGAAGAAGACATGACATATTGATCAATTTTGAACCGATGTGCGGGTGATTTTGAAACTGCTGCATTTAATGCCCAAAAATGCAGACTGAGTGATGGAGGATTGTAGCGGGCTTCCTTTGGGAAAATAAGGGCAAAAATGAGGAAAGAATTGGCGAGATAACATTTTTAAACCACATTTTGTTGGATAGAAATTTATTCATTTGTATGAAATATTCAAAAAGGTATATTGAATAAGAGGTCATACATCATCTTGATTCACAAGGTTTCGATTGTTCCTACCTCACCTTGATAAATCTGCCCGATTTAACTGACAACTGTGTAAATAAACCCCAGCTGAGTTCACTCTCAATATTGCTCCTCCTGGCAGTTGCCGTAGAGTTTTTTGAGACAAAACCAATCGGCCAATCAACGATGCAATATTTATTCAGACATTTTCAATATTTTTTCACGTGACGAAGCAGAGTGTTCTGATTGGGTCCATGGACTAAACACAAGGCCATGAACTGCCACATATGAATGGGACAAACAAATTGACCTTTTATGCCTTGAGGTCTCTAGACCCAGTGGAAAGCAACGATGGTCATACATTGAATTATGAAGACATAGTAGACCATGCAATTAATTTGTTTGCTCTTTGACTGACAATCGGGTAAGCATTCTGTTCGCATTAATACACCAGTGAACAATGAAACTAAAAATATAGAAATTTTATAAACAGGTTTATGGTGAGAAGATATCAGCAAAATACTGGGAGGTATGTTAGCATAATTTGGTGTATCGTCACCAAATGAGCCAATATATCAACCAATCTCAGGATTCCTATTTAGCATGTGAACACCTTTTGGTCCCATCTGGCATGAACTTCAATTTTCAAGAACCTTGAAATGTGAAGACCCACCAGTCCGAACTTGTGGCCAGACCCGGTAGCATTCAGATTAGACAGGTTTACAGTTTCACATTTTTAAGTTGTTGACTATGACAGATGTGGCCACATGCAGGTTCTTAATACGGTTCAATACATATTTAATCTTTTGTTGTTAAAAAAGAAATTTCTAATAAACCTTTATATCCTCTTCCGATTAAGCAAACCCTCATATTTGTTTTTCTCCTGTTTTAAAGCGTTCAATGTGTTATGGGTAAGGTGCTCTGACATAAAAAACGTATCCTAGTATTGTACTCTCACAGATTATATCAAATGGTAGGCACACATTTAGTGCAGTTAGTACACATTAAGTGCAAAAAGACTTGCCCTGATGTAACTACTTGCACTATTAAGGGGTAGGCACTCATTTAATGCAAGTGAATGATTTGAATGTCACAGAATCAATCATATACGGTATAATCTTTTGTTGCCGCTAAAACAGGACTTTCTTCAACTTGATTGAAGCCTTTTTTATTTGTTTACCTAAATCCTGATTAACCAAATGTCCTTGTATTTCCTAATTTTGTGCAGGTGAATGACTTGAGGTTTTTTCAAGATCAATGAGAATATTTTGTTAAAGCTACCAATATGAATTATGTTTAGGTTTAACATGTATGATGTTTTCTATATTAACAACAAATTTGTTTTTTACATTTATGATTTCCTTACATAAACAACATGTTTATTTTACTTAGATTATATGTATATCATTTTTACATTTTTCAAATGTTACTCCATTTCAAGACCATTTATTTACTCCGTCTGCATTTTTTTTCATTAAACGCAGCAGTTTCGAAAACATCCTAACGTCTCTTAAAAATTGATCAAAAAAATTGATGTGCGGGTGATTTTGAAACTGCTGCATTTAATGCCCAAAAATGCAGACGGAGTGATGGAGGATTGTAGCGGGCTTCCTTTGGGAAAATAAGGGCAAAAATGAGGAAAGAATTGGCGAGATAACATTTTTAAACCACATTTTGTTGGATAGAAATTTATTCATTTGTATGAAATATGCAAAAAGGTATATTGAATAAATAGAGGATATCGTATGATTTATGAGTGATATGATTTTTATCCACGAATGGCTATGGTTAAGTGAAAATTTGTCAAAATATCATATTTTACCACTGATTACAAAAGTACCATTTTTATTTTGACATGTTATCCTATGAATATCATGGTAGCTATAGAATAAGAGGTCATACATCATCTTGATTCACAAAGTTTCGATTGTTCCTACCTCACCTTGATAAATCTGCATGATTTGACTGACCACTGTGTAAATAAACCCTAGCTGAGTTCACTCTCAATATTGCTCCTCCTGGCAGTTGCCACAAAGTTTTGTGAGACAAAACCAATCGGCCAATCAACGATGCGATATTTATTCAGAAATTTTCAATATTTTGTCACGGGACGAAGCAGAAGTCCAGGTTCTTAATACTGTTCAATACATATTTAATCTTTTGTTGCTAAAAAATAAATTTCTAATAAACCCTTGTATGCTCTTCTGATAAAGCAAACCCTCATATTTGTTTTTGTTTTTGGAGAGTTCAATGAACGTTAAGGGTAAGGTGCTCTGACATAACAAACACATATTCTACTCTCACAGGTTATATCAAATATATTTAGTGCATTTAGTACAGATTAAGTGCCCTGACATTTAATGAAAGTTAATGACTTGAATGTCACAGAATAAGAATCAATCATATACGGTATAATCTTTACTTGCTAAAACAGGACTTTCTTCAACTTGATTGAAGCCTTTTTATTTGTTCACATAATGAACCATAAATGCTCTTGTATTTACTAATTTTGTGCAGGTGGATGACTTGAGGTTTTTTCAAGATCAATGAGAATATTTTGTTAAGGCTACCATTATTTGAACACTTATCCTATATTGAGAACGTACAAATTATTTAAAAATGATTTTGGTAAAGAATTGTACTTGAAACTAGATAATAAAAAGTATAGATTGGCTACAAGTAGATTTAGAATGAGTTCTCATCAGTTAGCAATTGAGACTGGAAGACATACAAAGCCAAAACCAAAACCTTTAGAGGAAAGATTATGTAATATTTGTAAAGATGTAGAGGATGAATGTCATTTCTTTTTAGCTTGTACAAAAAATGATGAGAATAGGCAAATATTGTATACAAAAGCCCGTGACATTTTACCTAACTTGGATTTACAAAGTGAAAATTTATTTGTCAATCTTATTTCTAGTAAAAATGTAACCTTGCAAAGACATATTGGCAAATTCATTTACCATTCATTTAAGAATTTAGCATGGTCATAATGCATTGTGTGTGCACCACACTATTATTGTTATCTTATATATTTTTATATTTTTTTTTGTATTTTTAGTTTAGTTGTGTTTTGTAGTTTAGATATGTAGTTTACCATAGTTCTGACTAATGTAATCATGTCATGATATGTCAATAAAAGTTATATATATATATGAACTACAGTAAAACCTGTCTAATCAGAACGCCATTGGGACCGGATAAAAGCGTTCAGATTAGGAGGTGTTCACATTTCAAGGTTTTTGCATTCGCAATATACTGGATTCTGAAGAATGTGAACACATTCTCAGTAAATATTTATGCAGTTCTTTTGACCACATAGCTTTATGGCATTCAAGAAATTTGAAAATTTGATTCAAATGAATCTAGACATGCTGGAAAGCCCCATTATGCGACCATTCAAGATTATTTCCAAAAGTTTTGATATCATGACAAAATTTGAGCAATTTTGTATGAAACATCAGAAATTTTATGAAAAGTGTTCAGATTAGACAGGTGAATTTTTCAAATATGACTGTTCACTGTTCAAACTGGGAGGTGTTCACATTTCAAGTTTTTTTTATTTATCATGGGAGTCAATGGGAGGAAAAAATGGGACCGAAAAACAGTGTTCAGATTGGGAGGTGTTCGGATTAGCCAGGTGTTCAGATATACAGGTTCTACTGTATATGTTTAGGTTTAACATGTATGATGTTTTCTTTATCTTTATTAACAACAAATTTGATTTTTACATTTATGATTTTCTTACATATACATCATGTTTATTTTACTTAGATTATATGTATATCATTTTTTATGTCCCCACCACATAGTGTGGGGCCATATTGTCGGCCTAGGCGCGTCCGTCCGTCCGTCTGTCTGTCCGTCTGTCTGTCCGTCTGTCTGTCCGTCTGTCCGTACGTCCGGCAGTTTTCTCCAAAACCGCTACAGATATCACCTTCAAATTTTCAGGGATAACTTATGAGTGCATACAGATGTGGATGAAAAAAAATTAACTCGATACCTACTTCCTGTCGGCCATTTTGAAGTCAAATGCTAAAATCCTTGTCTGCAAACTTTAAGAAAAACTGCTTCACAGTTGCTTTTAAAACTTTAACATCTTGTTCAGCTCACTTCATTCTAGATCTGATTAGGTTTTGGACCTGCTAGCTCAGTCATGTCAGCCATTTTGAATGTCTTAAGAAAAGTTAGCGCGCGATAATACTTTGTATCATATTGAATGGTGTTTTTGAGTTTTCATACTTTAACTATTTAGTAGCTTTATAAATAATTTCAGATGTACTTTGCTGTAAAAGCCTACTTTATTGTTAACAGTAGTTATATGTGATAATTTTGTAAAAAGAAATCAGCAAAAACTCATAAGGACTTTTTTATTGTCGGCCATTTTGGATTTTTCGGTCCTAAAATCTTGTCTGTGAAGTCTTGTCTGCGCATTTTCAGGTGAACCGTTTGGTGGATCAATTTCAAATTTTCAGGGATGATTCTTAGTATAAAAATCTAGATCTCATCAGTTTTTTGGCATTCTGGGTAAATGTCAAGGCAGCCATTTTGGATTTTCCGTCCTAAAATCTTGTCTGTAAAGTCTTGTCTACTCGTTTTCAGGTGAACCGTTTCGTAGATCAATTTCAAATTTTCAGGAATGATTCTTAGTATGAAAATCTAGAACTGATTAGTTTTTTTGCATTCTGGGTAAATGTGAAGGCAGCCATTTTGGATTTTCCGTCTTAAAATCTTGCCTGTAAAGTCTTGTCTACGCGTTTTTAGGAGAACGGTTTGATAGATCAATTTCAAATTTTCAGGGATGATTCTTTGTATGAAAATCTACATCTGATTACTTTTCTTGCATTCTGCGTAAATGTTAAGGCAGCCATTTTGGATTTTCTGTCCTAAAATCTTGTCTGTAAAGTCTTGTCTACCCGTTTTCAGGTGAACCGTTTGGTAGATCAATTTCATATTTTCAGGGATGATTCTTAGTATGAAAATCTACAAACAGATTAGTTTTTGGACATTCTGGGTAAATGTCAAGGCAGCCATTTTGGATTTTCCATCCTGAAATCTTGTCTGTAAAGTCTTGTTTACATGTTTTCTGGTTAACTGTGTGACGGATCAATTTCAAATTTTCAGGGGTGGTTCTTAGTATGAAAATCTAGAACTGACTAAATTTTTGGCATTCTGGGTAAATTTTAAGGTGGCCACTTTGGATTTTCCGTCCTCAAATTGTGTTGGTAAAGTCTTGTCTACTCATTTTCAGGATAACCATTTCACGGGATCACCACTTGGTGGGGACATTTTGTACACATTTGTGTTCTTGTATATTTTTCAAATGTTACTCCATTTCAAGATCATTTAATTTCTGAACTTCTCAGTGTTATAATACACAGTTAAAATAGAATTGTATAAAATACTTTTATTTGCAAAACATCATTTAATCAAGGGCGTTACAATACCCGGGAATTTATCGGTTCGTGCAGTACTTGTTTGTGATAGCGCCATCTGCAGGTCACTGTGGTTATAGCCTACATAATACGGGGTAGGATATCGGGAATTCGGTGCAGTTTCTATCCGTCGATTACGCTATAAATTGAAGCAAGTGTGACCACTTTATCCACTTAAACAATTTGATAATTGATTAAATCGTTAAACAAAATCGATAAACACGTCATACACTTCCCATCTCCTTAGAAATTAGCATGTATTTATCGGATTGTGTTTTCGGACGATGCTCGACCCAGACCACTAGGGAAATCCTTATGCTAATTAGTATGACGTCATATTTTCCCGGGGAATCCTAGATTTCAAAGCCTCGGTCTTTTATTCTGTCAAATGTAAACATTCTTTTGCAGACAGAAAATTGACAGATTAGCTTTTAACTTTCAGCTTTCATGTTTAAATATTCTTTATTTCTACCGGACTTCTTGCTAGCTGAATATCATATAATGTTATAACTTGATTTAGATTTTGGACGATTGTCTGATTGATCCTTTCTGAAATTTTGATTGTGATTCACGATTGATTGGCAAGAAAAACAATTCCTATTGTTTTCCAGCGAAGTCACTAAATGTTACAGCATAAATTATAATAAGTGGGAAGTAGAATAAAGGATGGGCGGGGCCAGGGGATTGGTGGCCCTACCAGCCCCACCAATTCACACGCATACACATAAGAGACAAACACACCCAGGCCGTGATGGAAATATAAAACTATTTAGGGCACAAAATGGTATTTAATAGACCGATATGTAGTGAATCCGCCATGTATTGAAGGTAAAACAATCTGCATTATTGTTACTTCTATCAATACATGGATTGTGCAATAGAAAAGCAATGGCACAATCAAAAATGTGCATATCAATCGTGAATATCTCTCGGTTCAAAGCTTAATTCCAACAGAATCGTGTCAAAATATGTGTCTGAATAACAGTTATACATTATAAGATCGCAAACTCTTACAAATTATCACCCGAATGGCTAATTTTCAACGAAATGTCCTTAAGACAACAGCCCTGGGTCGCGCCTATGACGAAAATAAGCTTGAATATCCCTCCCCTAATAATATTGATAATCACATTTATGCGTGCGCGCGCAGCTCATCCACTGAACGAAACGCCACGCTGAAATCACCGAGTATTGATCTTTCCCTTGATTTAATGTTGCCTATTATGCCTATGTGATGAAATGAACATTTTGCTTTGTTCACTATTCAAAACTTGTTAAAGTACTTTTTTGGAATTTTTAGATTATTTTTTTTTGTATTTTCTCATTACCAGTTGATTTACTGCAGCATTTGAATTGGGTTATTTTGTCATAACAGACAAACCCTCAAGTTAATCAAAAACTTGCAAATTTTATCATTATGTAAATAGAAATGAAAAATTGAAGTGTATGAAAGTTCAAGCATCCTCCAGCTCTTAGCAACACATAGCAACAGAACTCCAGGCGTGGCAGATCTGGGAATTCAAAGGGGAGGAAAATATAAACAAAGACATCTGTTTAAAGCAGTAAAAAATACTGGTCATTGATCCATTTGGGGCTAATTTTTCTCTTTCTGGCCAAATGTTCCAGAAAATGCAGACATTTCAAAAATGAAGTTTAGATGTAAAATGGGCCTCAAAAAAAGTTTGAGTAAGACAAATATTTGAGGTTATTGAAAGTTTTTGGTCTTTCTCAGAAAAGGAGATATGATCCCTGAGTTTGAAAAATGAGGTTCAAGCACTTTTATTCCACATACAGATGTGTCAATTTTTACAAAGTTATTTTTGTTCTAAGCACAAAAACAAAATGACAGTCTATTGTCATAAAACTTAATACCAATACTCAAGTTCAAGTTTGGGTTTTATAATTGACTTTGAAATACTTTTTTGTACAAGTATGGTTCAGTATGCTGGACTTATTCATATTTCATAATGGTTTTCTTGTGATGTCCTTGATTTTTAATATGAACAATATAAGGGTCAAGATATTTTGCACTCTTTTGCATTTAATCATTAATTAGAAATAGAAGAGTGGTTTGCATTAATAATTAAATATATTTTCAGTAGATGTACTCATGTATAGATGTATACATGTTATCTACCTTACATTTAGAAATAAAAAAATTTGATGAACCATCAATCGAAAGCACCATTCAAGGCCAGCTCTGTTATACCACAAAGTTAATGAATAAATAAAAAAATACATATTATAAACATATGAAATACAGAGAATTTAAAAAGAAATAACCCAGCAATTATTACTTTTCTATTTCTTTATATCAAAGGCATTGAATTTGTGTGTTGTAGGGACACAGCCGGACAGGAGAGGTTCAGGACACTTACCCAGTCCTACTATAGAGGGGCTATGGTAAGTTAATTATCCCATCGAACGAAGTTCGGAGGGATATAGGGAACGCCTCCGTCCGTCCGTCCGTCCGTCCGTACGTACGTCCGTCCGTACGTACGTCCATCCGTACGTACGTCCGTCCGTCCGTACGTCCGTCCGTCCGTCCGTCTGTCCGTCCGTCCGGGCGATAACTCAAATACCGTTGGCCCGATTTTGTTCATATTTTGTACACATATACCCTATGAGGGTAGAAGTTCTGCTCGAAAGCCGATTTTCAAAATGGCCGCTCAATTCAAAATGGCGGCCATTTTAGTGCCGATTTTACAGTAATTTAGGTGCAATATGTAAAACTGTAATAGCAATATGATTTAAATGTAAAAATATTATGAAGGACATTAATAAAGCTATAAATGTAGACATTAAAGAAGCACATGGCAGCCATCTTGAAAAATGGCGGCCTTTATTCGTTATTTTACGATTTTTGCTATAACTCGAAAAGTAGTGGAGCGATTTTGTTCATATTTGGTGTGTGAATACTATAAGCATTGCACAATGCCTAAAGACACTTTTGGTAGAAGGCGGCCATTTTTCAAAATGGCCGCCATTTTAACGTATATTACTATAACTCGAAAAGTAGTGGAGCGATTTTGTTCATATTTGGTATGTGAATACTATAAGCATGGCACACCGTCCTATGACACTTTTGGTAGAATGTGGCCATTTTGAAAAAAATTTGAAAAATGGCCGCCATTTTAACGTATTTTACTATAACTCGAAAAGAAGTGAAGCGATTTTGTTCATATTTGGTATGTTTCATATTTCATATGTGAATACTATAAGCATGGCACACTGTCTAATGACACTTTGTGTAGTAGGTGGCCATTTTGAAAAATGGTCACCATTTTTATGTTTTTTACTATAACTTGAAAAGTAGTGAAGTGATTTGGTCATATTTGATATGTGAATACTCATGAGCCTTGCACACTGTCTCATGACACTTCAGATAGTAGGCAGCCATTTTATAAAAATGGCTGTCATTTTTACATTTTTTACTATAACTCGAAAAGTAGGGGAGCAATTTTGTTCATATTTGATATGTGAATACTTTAAGCATGGCACATTGTCTAATAAAACTTTGGGGAGTAGTCAGTCATTTTGAAAAATGGCCACCATTTTTATGTGTGTTATTTTACAAGTACATGTATGCGATTTTTCAAAGATTTTATAGGTGGCTACTTAAAAGCATATTATTTCTTCTGATGACAACTTGGCTAGTGAGCAACCATTTTGAAAATGGTGGCCTTTCTGGTGTGTTGTTTTATGATGTTTGCTATATATTTCGTTTGTAAAAATGCCAGCCATTTCTGTTCGATGGGATTCGCTACGCTTTGGCGTTGCCGTTGTTCTGGTTATGTCACCATCAAAACTTGGTGACATATTGTTATGGTCTCCGATTTTTTTACTTCTGTAACAAATTCTTCCAATAACTTAACAAATACTGTTTAGACTGACTACAATTTCAAAATCATCTACATGTTTTCAGAAGTTCAAATCTGACTTTTTATTTAAGATTTGATCTTCAATGACCTTTTCATGGTCAAATAAAGGTCAAAAAGGTATTTTTTCAACTTGCTTCAAATTGACCAATTTTTTTTTCAAAATCATCTACAAGTTATCAGAAGTTCAAATCTGACTTAAGATTGAACTCATAATATTGTGAGCAACTAGGTGGTGACATTTAGTCATGTTGATGCCTTGTCTCTTTATGTCATAGGGACAGCAGAGGTCAATAACAGAAACTTTGTTAAGTTCAGAATTCCCTAATTCAGTTGTTGCAGCCATGAATATAATGGCGTCATTATGCAAAGAACAATTGACTTATGAAAATTATATGGTCTCCGTTTTTTTGTGATGGCGGTTGGTGATCAGCAGTCGGCGGTTGGCGTCTGTAACAATGTTTAAAATTTCCAATAACAAATACTGTTTAGGCTGACTTCAGTTTTCATATTGTGACATGCTAGGTGGTGACATTTTGTCATGGTAATGCCTTGTCAATTTTACCTGTTCATTAATTTTGTCTCAAAAGATAATTTCCCCTCCTTCCTCCATAAAATATATGTGAACAATTGGAGGAGTATATACATCGAACAATATAAGTAGACAAAAAAAGTTTTAAATCAAAAAACCATAATCCAATTGATGGTATTGAAAGCACGTTCATATTTATGGTAACCACCCTTACCATAATGTGTCTAGCATTTGCTTTATCTGCCTACCCCTATATGTTTTAAACAGGTGGACTTTGAATATGACTTTAGAATCTACCTACCCAGGTGTATGACACATTTTAGTGATTAAACCAAAGAATCAATAGAATAGATGCGAGTAGAAATAATCTTAATTTACGCCAAACTGATGTTATATTTGTGGTCTACATGTAAAATTACATCTAGACATGTGGATCTGAAAAGAGTTTATCAACTTTGAAAATTTAATTTTCTTTGAAAATCTGACTTCTAGGTTGGGGAGATTCCACATTGTTGTTGTAAAATCACAAAAAGTGAAATATCTTTTCTTGTGTTGGGTAGATAATATTTTCTTTTACTGCACTTCTTTTAATTTGTATAACTATCAGATACATGAGGGTAATATGAAAAGAGAACCACTAAAATGATGAATATTCAAGTTTAAGGGGATTTTGTAATACCCTGCCATGTTGTTTCCCCCGAATCAGCCACCCAGTGAGGAAACTGGTAACTACCTACTCGCATCTGAGTAATTGCACCTTAACATGGCTTCATCCTTTTTGAATCATCGTGGCATAGTTTATGATCTAATGAATATCAAAATCAATAAATGTTAAGATCCTAATATATTGATGCACATACTGTACACATTTGAAACATCTTTTGATCACTAAAATTTGGGGAAGGTAGATTTTTGGAAATGGTAGGCTGAGAGTCTTTTGGAACTGTTAGCCCTACAATGGCAGATATGAAGCTTGGTGCTGATGTCTAATTAATTAATAAATCTGTGTCAATGTCCTTTACAAATATTATTAAACGTCATGTACTAATATCCTTTTCAGCTCCTTGATTTTGTTGTTATGTCAAGGTTATGTCAACTTAAAATCTTTTTTTTATAAAAGAAACTTTGTTTTTTTAACCACCAAAGCCTGACATACGTCGTTCATGAGTAATGTCAAACTGAACAAAACAACCTTTTTTATAAAAAAAAGTAACATTGACCTACTGCTGTTGCATACAATACAATATGAGTGTACTAATAATTGAATCAAAAGCTTTTTGTAATTCACATCTACTCAGGGCTCAAAGCTTGCAGCTGGCTGACTGCCAATTGCAATGTCTTTTCAATAGTGACAATGAACTTAGAAAAATAGTTGCCTATTTGTGAACCTTGCTTCCAAGTGCAATTATCTTTTTGAAACGCAATCAAAACTTTTTATTACAGTAGGTTTCAGTTGAATTATAGATTATTTAAAAATGAATTTTATTTGAATAATAAAGCATATGTCAGAGTGACACAAAAAATGTTTCCTTTCAGTTACAAAACTTTTTCAATTATGGAATCACTTTGAAGTAATTATAATTATCTGTAATCATCATGACATTAATTAAATGGCCTTTGTTTAAAGTGAATTAATCCTTTGTGAGAATCAGAATGTGCAAGTTTGTATTATTCAATTTTGCGAAGTTGGCAAGTTAGTGTCTTTTCAATTTTTTTTACTTTTTGCTTTAATTGAATATCAAGATAAGTAAAAGAAAACATGGGCATTTAACCTTTTCAAGAAATGTTTGATATCACACTATTTCATCGATATGAAAAATCAAAATGTTGTAACTCATAAATTTTTTTGTGATTATTATTACAATATGGTTTGTATCATTTTTAGTGTTCTTTATTCCAAAAGATTCCTCAAAATGCTTCCACTTCCTTGTGAATCAAAGCCACCTAGAAAGAAAAATAGCTCAAATTCAGCCCTCAAACCCAGCTCATCTTGAAGAAAATTATTTTTTACACAATATTAACAAGTTTCAACGATGCAGATGAACAGAATCCATGTTGTCAGTAGAGGAAAAGTTTAAGAATGAGACAAAAAATAAATTAAGCAGCAACCTTTTGCTGATTGAAAATAACATTTGAATTTGATTGATAGCATTTGTAAAGTTGATGTTTTTCATTTGTTTGTTTTGAACTTGGTGTCAATGAACTCCAGAGATAAGACTGACATATTACTTGAGGTAGTATAGACTTACTTGTACAGCAATATTTGTACAGCAAATATTCGCCAAAAAGTGGAGAATTCTGAAATTTGCCTCAAAATGTGGTTGATAACGTCAAATCATTCAATCCATAAAATTAGGTCAACATAGACGAAGAGGTAAGAAATTACAATCTGAGCCATTTCATGTAAGATGTATAAAAAGCTACAAGGTCACATATTAAAACATGTAAACAATTACAAATGCTGGTGATCAAATTCAAATGTTATTTTTAATCGGCGCAGGATTACTGCCAAACCTATTTTTATCTCTACATAGACATAGACATAGATAACTGCCGAACCTATTTTTATCTCTTTCTTCAACTTTTACTCAATAGACAACATGGATTTGGTTCATCTTCATCGTCAAAACTGGTTAATTTTACGTCAAAGGATTGGTATCGATATGGTGAACTTTTTGAACACACATTTCTCTTAATCCAGTCATCAAAAAATTCTGAAAATTTTACACAACATCAATTAAATGGTCATCTTTTGATTGGTAACAATATAATTTGAAATATATATATATATATTTCTCTATATTGTTTTAGAAATTTTAAAATTCATATGACATCAACCTATGATGAACTGAATTACTGACAAACATATATGTAGATTTTATATATTGTTATCAATTTTATTCTCATTTAACTGAGTAAATATATTTAAATTGTTCTTTTTATTCTCATTTCCATTTGACTCAGGTTAATATTTAAATGTTTTCACGCTGATA